TGCCTTCCATAGAAGGTCTATATATTAAGCAGGTCAGAAGGAGATCTGAGAAAATATCTACAGACCCCTCACATCCTGGACATAAACTGCTTCAACTCCTCCCCTTGGTACACTACTGTAGGACACTGCATGCCAAAACAACTAGACACAGGGACAGTTTCTTTCCTCGTGCCATCATTCTGCTCAACACCTAATTCTCACAGTACTGTCTAATGTGTATATACATTTACCCAAGTGGAATGACTATAGCATTATTATTAGCCTTTTTATCTTCTTTACTGCCCCTTCTTATTGGTATTATTATTATGATTATTATTACTCTTGTTACTTTGCATGTACACTAAAAGCTTCTGCACTAGAGACAAATCCTTCTATATCTAATTCACACTTGGCAAAATAAAGTATTCTATTTTTATTCTATTTTTAAAATCTATTATATCTATCTATGTACTCACTAGGAGTTGAAAATGACTTGATGATACATTGTTTGTCTGTCAGTCTCTCTCTCTCTCTCTCTCTCTCTCCCTCTCTCTCTCTCTCTCTCTCTCTCTCTCTCTCTCTCTCTCTCTCTCTCTCTCTCTCTCTCTCTCTCTCTCTCTCTCTCTCTCTCTCTCTCATATCCTTTGTCTTTATCTTACTTTTAGAGTAAATTCTATTTTTCTTTTCATTTTTTGCTTCATCTCTTTCCCATTTGCGGTCTTCTACCAGCTATGGTCCTCACCAGATGAGTGCTTGGATATTGACTACCACAAACCATGACTTCAGTCAAATGAGGCTTTCATAAACTAAATTGTTGGCCTCCATTATATCTGTGTCTCATGCATTTCTAGCTAATAGAAAAGACAGTAGCAATCATTTTAAATATTCTTGTCAATAGTTCCAGTTTTATCCCAGTCATATTTATGCTATTCTTTACATGCTATTATCTCTAATATAGAGAATATTATGCAACCCGATACACTGTATATGCCTGCAACATATACAGCATGATGACACACAGGATACATAGCAGCCTTAAATTCAGTTAAGTTCAGAGACTCACTGACAGTGCAAACCTGTGTACATCACTTAGAAAGTGAAAAAGCTTCACTCCCAACAAAGTTGCTATTGTGTTTAGTGCAAGAGATCTGCTTCAAGCAATGATGATTTCACATGTGTCATGACATTATCATGCAAATGATGTAAACTGCATAATTCATATCATTGATGCAATATGATCAAGATGCTCAGGATGCCATTTTCTTTCTGTTCCACTCCAAGAAATACTCATGACAGTGTTAAACCACACTGTCATGAGTATTTGTTGGTTCTGGTTTATGCATTGCAAATATCCAGCCATGGTGTGTTGTGTAAACTTGTTTACAGAATAGTAAAGTAAGTGAACCCAACTATTAACTGTAAGCAATTGTGGTTTAATACAATTTGCAATATATACCTTTCATGTAACTCTAGCAGTTAGTAGAAGAAGATGGTCATTGTAACCTACTGTAAGCTTGGGTAAAATTGATATAATTGACATGTATTACCTTTTAAAGTGGTAAATGCCAGTCAAATGGTACATGGAAAATTAATAATCTCTGCATACTAATACCTGAAAGGTTTTATCTAAAATAATAACTTTACAAAATGTCACCAAGGCATCTTTCCCCCCACTTTTTCCAAGTTTCCACTCTGACTCTCCACTCCAACCTCATTGAGCTGGGTCATGATCTTGTCTGGCTCAAATATAGTACCAGGATCATTTTTCAACAAATTAGGCTAGGAATGAAGAGCCAATGTGGAAACTTGGACAAGGAGTTTGAAATATTGAAGAGGGAGGAGGGGAACTCATGTATTAACTCAAATCTTTGGCTTGTCGTGTGGAGGAAGGACAAATGTTTGGCTTCCTCTAGTGGTCTTGGCAAAGACAGGAGATTTTGAAGAGTTTGGTCCTGTTAAACGATAGAATCAATAAATTAATGAAAATGGGATGTATTATGTGATGATTTGCATGGGATGTTTGAATATTTTTTTCTGACATCAATGCATCTATAGTAAAATAAAAGTTGAGAGTTTTGAGACTGAGATAATCTTTCTTTGTTATGATATTAAAAGCTTGGAGCTGGAAAAGATAAGGCCTTTTGATCCCCAAAAAGCTTACAGTAGCAAATATGGATCTCTTCTACCATCTAGTGGCGATGGAATGCATTTACCAATATAAGAGGATATTTGTAGCTCAAGGTTGAACTTGAGGGGTCCTTGGTGCTCTCTGAGGCTGGTGTTTTCTTGCCTACATTTCATGATCAAACTAGGTAACATCATCAGTGCTACCCTAAAACCTATGCTAACTCTAGCACTGATGATGTTATTCAGTTTGTAATGAAATGTCTGCAACAAAGCAACCAACCTCAGAGCACAAAGGACCCCACAGATGTATTTAGGTGGCAAAATCATCTCAGTACAGTATGTATAGAATTTGCTATGTTGTCGTGGCATGGTTTCAACATATATACATATATGTACTAGAGGAAATGATCAACCATATATCACAGGGGGAAAAGGAGACTGATTGCATGCCTGGGTATGTATTTTTAATGGTCACCACAATGCATTGAAATAGGCTATGTTTCAACTTTTATCAAGATCTAGTCTGCATCTATAATTCCAGCTTTTGAAGATGGGTCTATCTATGTTTTTCTGCATGGATATCCTTTACTATGTCATAATGTCATAAAATACAGGCATAAACTAATCTACACAATCCTGTTTAGAATGTAGTCCAGCTACTCAGTACTCTTAGGAGTGAGGGCCAGTTGGACTTTGTAATATTGTTATACTTACTAATACAGTTACTTTGTATTTTAATTTGATTTATTTTTCTCTCTTTTAAAATGGTGATAAGGGTTTATCAAACCATTACAGGCTGGAATGCAGGAAACCTTTTTATCCTATTGCTATATGGATTGATCGATAGCTTCTAACATTTCTAAACTGAAAAGATAAATTATAGGAGGGAATATCTGGAGAATATCTCCTGATTAGAGAAAGCTTGTTAGCACTAATTGGCATCCGGTCTGTCCTTTCGTGAACTCCAATCTTTTTTTTTCTTATTACAATCTTAAAATTTACGCCCCTTCTGTCATCAGATTTTATTTTGATGAACATGTGTGGTATTATGGGGTGCAAATATGTAATACGTTTAACTAAGTATAACTGATTTCCTATGCAAAGGGAAAGTTACTTTTGTCCTACTAAATCATCTTTTCTCGTCATTTTCTTTGACGTCTTAACTATAAAAGGGAATGTAAGATGGATCTCGAGGTTTCCTCTTTGAATGAGAGGAATCCCTTTGATCAGAATATTTTAATAAATTGTAATTAAATGAACTTCCTGTCCCTGGAAAATATGCCTGCCTAAGCTTGAGCCTGCCAAGCCACATTGGGCCCACAGGAGTATGAGGCTGGGTGCATACATCATGCTAAATTATTGCTTTATGAATCCACAATTGACTAGGCTCTCACCCCAAGCTAAGATATAATCTATTATTTATAATAATCTATTATTTACCTTCATATAATACACCAAGCCTCAACAACAACAACAAAAGTAGTAAGTGGCCTTAACAGTTTTATTATACTCATTTTCTACTACTATATCAGAAATAAATTGATTTATAGCCAGCCCCACAACTTGTTATGTCTAAAACAGACAATGGGGAGCATACCGACTATACAAGGGATAAATTGGGCAAAGGCTATAATACTGAATTATGTATTAGATTTGAAAATGAAGATAAAAAGGTTAAGTCAAAGTTGCTGCAACAAGCATATTTTTCTATGTTGTTTCTTCTAAGAACACACTGAAATCTTATCTCATTTTACCTACATCCTTGGTACTTACACCTTTCCTAAGCATGTGTAACTTCACTTGGTTGGCTCAAAGTAAAAACATATACAGTAATTGAGTGTCATCAGCAAACTGATGATACTTAACTCCATGCTTACAGATGACTTCATCCAGTGGCTTCATGCAGATACTAAATCAGAGTGGAGAGAGGAGAGCCCCATGTAATTGCAAAAAAACCAAAGTGACTTCATTCCCTTTCTACATTACCAGGTTTTTTTTAACAACTATTGCACATACAGTACTCCTACTGCCTTCCCAAGCTTCAGCGATCTATGACCCTTGGTCTGATTTCGAAAGTCTTCTACAAACAATTAACTCAGATCTCTGACAAGAAAACTCTTGACCCAGATCTGAGAGTCCAGCGGGCAAGAAGGGCTGCTAGTTTTAGCCTCTTCTACTAGGCAAATGTCACCCGCCCTGGAATTGTGGCCCTATATAGAAAAAGAATTTCCCACCCTTACTTGAAATCATGGCTGAGCATCCTTTTTGTGGGTGAGCACCACTCCAAACGTTTTAGGGGAGCCAAGGGCTGCAATGGATGGGGCAATCACACAAAGTGGGTGGGGTTATTACAGATTGGGATTTGGTGGAGATCTCTTTGTTTTAAACTACATAAATATTAAGATTCATAATACAGTTCTCCTTATTTCCTGCCATGAATTGGTAGAAAAACACATCAAGAACGCATTGTATCAACAGAATAATGTAATGTATCGTGGGGAATAATGATAAAAGATTATCACATAAATACAGAAATGAAAAATAGAACCCATATTTCTTTGTACATGGACATGACACTGAAACATGTAGGGCTTGGATTGCCCTGCTGCAAACACCATCTTGCCTGTTTTGATCTCCTTGCAGACACCTCATTGGGCTACATTATTGCTTCATTTATCACAATTCACTGAATGAGAAAAAATTGGAAGGGCTCAAACATGCTAAGCAATAAATCAGAATTGCAGTACAAACCCATCTTATTTTGTTGGAATTGCAAAACTCATTAAACAAAGATAAAATATATTGCACATGCCTGTATTTTTCTAAATCTGAAGCATCATGTTATAATAGATTTTTTTTGCATAAATAAAAAAATAAAAGTCTGTCCCATCATGTAATTTAGATGTTGCAGTCATATAACAGATTTTATTACATAATTAACAAAATGCAATTATTACAGAATATAAGAATATTTCTTTACAGAAAATAGATCTTTGTACAATTTAAAGAATGCCCCCTATGTGTTTTCAGCTTGTGAAATACAACAGTTTGGAATGCACATAGTATTTAACCAATTAAATTTATAAAATAAGGCAGAGTTATATTATTTTAAATTATAGGATATTACTGAATGATATAGAACCAAAGGTTGCTGAAAGCTCCAGAATTTTTTTAAATAAGTAGACCATTCAAATATTTAAGCATTCTCTTCAAAGAGTTAATTTTAAGACAAAATAATCATTCATACTTAACACTAAGTATTTGTGTTAAGGTACACTGGCAGAAACCTTTAACCAGGCAGCTATTTTTCCATGGTTACAAAAATTTAGTTAGCTAGTACTGGAACAGGTTTTGATAAAGGATACAGGTGAACATTGGCATTTAATCTACATTTTTAGAAATACTGTTAACAAATATACCCAAGTGGGCAGATTAAAATGCAGAGAAATACTGATACAAGGGAAGACCACTGAGACAGACATTTATGTTCACAATGATTTTAATGAATATTTCACTTAGTACTTCATTTTTTATTATCTTCTACAGATACTCAAAGAATGGTAACTTTTTCTGGTTTCATATCTACTTAATTTTGTACGGAGAGTGAAAAAACACAAACATAAATACTGATTAAAGTATAGGTTTTGCCTTTTAAGGCAAATGGCTGATGACTGCCAAATAATCTGCTCCCAAGGCATTATATTGCTCAACGTGATTTGTTATCGACAACACAGCAGACAACAGTTTCCATTACAAACTTATTTTTACTTTCCAACATGTAACAATACAGGTGTAGCCATTCTGATGGCGACATGTACCAGCCTACTATTAACTTTGCAGCTCAAAGGCAGAACACACCTACTACTTTATAATAAGAATCACATTGAACTGGGCACATGAAAACTGAAGATTGTTTTTATTCCATTGACTTTGCAAATTCAGCGTAGTCGATATACCCATCATTATTCTTATCATCATCGTGCAAAACACCATCTATCAAAGTAATCAGTTCCTCTTCTTTTATTGTCTGAACACGTTCACCATCACCCTAGAAAGGAAAAATAACAGATGAGTTTCACAAAGGAGTTGGCTTGGAGCCTCTCTTGAGTACTTTCTTCTTGATAATTATATTGCTAGAGAACATAAAAAAATTAAGTGGATCTGGCAAATCAAAACTCAGAAGGTATAGTTCTCTATGGCTCGTCCTCACCTTATAACCATTTGTTTAGTGACTATTCAAAGCTACAATGGCACTGAAACAAGTGGCTTATGGCCAGCTTTCACATGATTGGTGCAGCACCCCATGGGAAAAATGATCAAATTTCAGGCACCTAGCAACATACATACACTTGGCAAATCTATCACAGTTGCTCTGTCCCAGTATCATGTGATCACCATTTGTAACTTTTCCAGCTGGCTTCTGATTCACTTAGCAACTGCAGTGAGTTACTTAACAACTGTGGCAAAAAAGATCACAAAGTGGGACAAAGCTCACTTAACAACTGCCTTGCTTAGCAACAGAAATTTTGGGCTCAGTTGTGGTCATAAGACTACCCGTTCTTTAATTTTGTCAGAATAATGCTGTATATATATATATATGCTCATTTGCTTCTTAAAGCTATTTCAAAGTTTTGTAATTTATAAAGCTAACAGTTCTTCTAGAGAAAAATCTTCCCAAAACACCATGCCAAAATTATATTTTTAGTTGGAAGCAACACACACACACACACACACACACAAAAAAAAAACAAATATTACACATATCATTTTTCCAAGGACTGCTGAGAAGCCCATCAAATTCCCTGTTCAGACAAACTAATACGTACCTGTCTGTGTACATGTGATATTGCAGTGGCAAGCTCAAGACCATCAAGCAAGCTGTTACCATCGTAATCATGCATTTTAAAATAATGAAGTTGCAGTTCTTGTGGTGACATCTCAGCTTCTGGTTTGTCAACAACACCATCTAAATGTTCCATTATGTGGCTATAAGATAAATGCAGAGCAGCTGTTAAAACTGCCATACAGATAGCACAACAGGATAATTCAACGTATTGTGCTCATCCAATTTCAACATTTTTAATGACTCAATTGCCTCTATTATGCAACACATTAAGTCATACACCGTTGTTTATAAACTATTTATTCTAAGAACATAAGAGCTGTCCTACTAGATTAGGCCAACGCCCATCTTAATCCACTCTCAGGGTGTTCACAAGCCGAAAACAGAATGAGATTTTTCCCTCCCATTATTCCTTTGCAACTAGTATCTCAAGGCATGCTTGGGGATGTTGGTCTTGAAGAATTAATAAATTTTGACAGAAATATCTTTTATGAATATATTCAATTCCTTTTTCAAGCTAGCTAAGTTAATGGCTGTCAATGTGTCTTGTAATGAATTCAATTGGTTAATTACTGTATGTAGTATGTGAAGAATTACCCCTTCTGTTTTAAACATCTTTTCAATCAGCTTTACTGGGTAACCCCTTCAATAGAAAACCCTCCCCCTCCATTTTCTCCACCATTCATTATTTTATACATTTTAATTCCCTCAATTGTCTCCCCCCCCCAAGCTTAAGGAGTCCTCAAAAATCTAGAAGAAATTTCCTAAGGCTTTTTGATCATTTTGATTCCCTTTCTCTAGAGCTATTATACCCTTTCTCAAATGCAAAGACCAAAACTGTACACAGTATTCCATATCTAGACATATCATAGATTTGGGTAAGGTAATTACAATGCTGACATTTTTATTTTCCTAGCACAGTATTTCTCTTTTTCATACCTGTTGCATCCTGAAGTGACAACTTCATTAAGATCAAGATCTTGCTAAAGTCTTAGCATTCTAAATAAATAGAAATTAAGTCCCAAAATTCTTAGCATTAATCATACTAGAACTCTGAGAGTTGGTATGCACATCTGGTGAGTGTTCAGGCTGAGGAGGCTAGGCTGACACAAGGTGAGGACTGTACTGAGTTTTATTCTATATCCAGCTCTTAAATCGAAGTATATATTTCTTGAAGCAATAATTGGACCAGACGGAACTCCAAAGTGATAAAATAATAACCTGTTAAATGTACATACATCTGCTGACTCTTTAAGAATGGTTTTTCACGATTCTAACCTGTAAGAACAGATACTGCACTTGCTCTTAGCCAAAAGGCCTTTAGTTAGCTCCCTAAATTAAATAACATTTAACCAGATTTCAAAATGAATGGAAAAAGGAACTTAATTGTTCTGTTAATGGCCAGGCCTTAGAGTGCTGTATAGTTCTGACATTAAAAAAGCTGTCATTAAAACAGCTGTCCTCCTAAATTCCAATCGTTAACTTTTTAAGTATATTAGTTGTAACTCTAAAGATTCCCATATTAATTCATAGATTATACATTGCCTGTACTTGCTCTGCCGTTCACAACCTTATCTATAATGAAAGCATAAAGAAATAAAACTGAATTATATAAAATGCCAATTTATGGAACACATACTCTTTGTCTTGTACCATGTTCTTATCAAGATGCATGCTGGGCTGATGGCTTCCATCCACGTGATCCTCTGCTAAAGAGATAATGGAGGTAGCAAGGATAATACAGCAGAGAAAATCTATGCTATAAATCCTTGGATGTACCATAACAGCCATATTCCTGAAAAAAAAAATTAAAATGCCATTTATAATATAAAATTGTATGCAAGAATTGCTGCATATTTGCAAACACTTTTAAGATGGACTAAACCTCTCAGCATAAACTCCACTGTTTTTGCAAAAAAAGAACACACTATTCATCCACACCATAAGCACTAACAAATACACCTCACTTTTCGTTTTCTATATGTGAATATGAATAACAATAGCTTGAAATACTAAGTATTTCAAGCTATTGCTATTCTTATTCATATATATTGATTTTTAAAATACATACAATATTGCCTTTAAACAAATCAACTAAAGATGAATAACTGCAACAAATTACTCTGCCATACAATATGACTTTTTAACATTACGTGTACATTTGGCTGATGTAATTATTTCATAACTCTTAAGATGAGGCCAAGTACAACTTTTTTTTTCTGTTCAACCCCACCTATTCAATATGCACCAGCCATCACTACCTATCAAATAATACACCTATGTACTGGAAATTCTGGATTTGAACTTTGAATTAGAATTTTGGAATCATGTCAACAAATCTTTAAGTTTGGAATCACAACAATTTTCAGAAACAGCTAATTCACTGGCTCTACTTGCAACTATATGAGAAAAATTTTGCAATCAGGTTCCTTATATGTAAGAGTTTTACTGGACATAACACTATACTGTACTTGTAAAATTTATTCCCTATGCTTTCAAAACAGCTGATAACTATATTACCAATCTTGCAAGCAATTATACCCTTACTATAGTATGAAAAAGTATCCAGTTTTACCAGATATAACACAATGTTGTGTTTGTAAAACCTTTTTCTTGAGCCTTCGAAACAGCTGATAAGCAAAAATATCAATCTTGCAAGCAGACAGAACCATTATAATATTATTAAAAAGTATCCATATTGATTTCAAAATGTTTGAACTTAAATTCGAAATAAATGTTAGAAATCTTAAGCATTTGTTATTATCATTCTCCTTATTGGCTATTCTGTCATTCTAGGAATTCAAGATAAGAAAAAGAGTTTCATCTTAAGCAAGGGGCCTGCCTCATTTTAAAACTTAGGGGGAATTATGTCCCAACTTTCTGGGAAAATAATCATCTCAATGTAACTTGCCATTTCCCCAAGATAAAGTAACATCACAAAAAAATCAAGCAACTGAGGGTATTATAATGACCAGCCTGTAAAAAGCTTTAACATATTTCAGGAAGGTTTGAAAAATGTTGCTTATAACTTTTTGTCCACCCTTAGAAAGAATATTCTATCCCCTTTTCGGTTTGAAAATAAACCCTACTTCAAATGTTATTTAACTGCAGCTGCAATTGGCAGTCACGAAATTGTGTATACCTGTTCCGAAATTACTCCCAGGCAAGTATGACTGCAGGATTAGCACTTCGAAGGATCTCCTCCCACTACCAGAGGATTACTAACGGCCCCAGCTGCTTGACTAAAAAGCAGAGGTGAGATTAGGACCGGACGGGAAAGTAGGAGCAGACTCCCGCCGGCACAAAGCAAGTCGCCGTCTTCTGGCCACCGCGAGATCCCGGCTACGAAAACACGTGCGCCCCGCACCTCTTCCCAGCAATTCTGCCGTTAAGATGACACTGTCCGGTGGCAGAGAAGAGCAGCAACACTCATAGAACTGAACCGCCTCGGCCACCATCCCCACCACTCATATCACCTCTGACCTTCAATACGTCAAGAGTTCCACGCCTCCTCCTCGGCGATTGGCTTTCTTTGATATTTTACGTATTCTGAAAAAACACGCTGCCCCGCCGAAGGGGTGTGCCCGTAAGGAATCGGGTATGTCCGCAGAGACCACGCCCCCCCTCGTTTTATGACGTGGCTTTATTCCTTTTAGACTAGAGACTTTTCGGAGGAAGAGCCTCTTGTCCCCGCCCGCGTGCGCTGATACGCTGGACCTTTTTTTTGTAGTCATCATAGGGAAGAATTTCCTAGCCAATTGCTCTTAGGGCTACGCTAACACCTACTTCAGCGAACTGTAGTTGGGTTTCCGCACTGGGGCTGTTCTTGTGAATTAGATTATTTGGATTTCTCGCAGTGCCGCTTTTTCACTCCTTTATTGATAGGCAACGCGACTGAAGCTCCAGGTGTGTGGGAAACCCTGAATTAATAGTACAGTACTCAAGAGCTGGATGCAAGATCACGGTCTGTGTGAAATTTATCCGAAGTAGACAAAGAGCGATGATACGAAGACCGCAGCAACAATGCCGCAAAAAAGGGAAAGGCAAATAATTTAGTTTTCTCGGCCTTTTTGCTGCGCTCTAATGGTGGTTCTGATTTTTGCAGCCCGCGTGTGGCATGCCTGCTCATTTTTCAAATTACTGCATTCATTTTAGTGCTAAAACATTAAGTTGGAAAACAAATAGAAAAAAGAAAAACAAATATTGACAAATGAAAAGAACAAAGAAGCATATTGTTAGGCCAATACCATTTTTATATAAAACTTGATTAATTTTTCCATTTTATCAATACAGTGGTAGTTTGAAATAAGACAGCAAACACATAGTTAATCCAGGATTACAAATATGGAATGGTAATCTTTCCATTGTGGCAAACAAATCATTTTTTGCTATGCCCATGTTTGGTTAATCCGTAGTTCTTAAATCAGTACAGAGTTTATACAGAGTTCCAGTTCACATTCATTTTTTAATGAACTAATCTTTAAACATATTCTGTTACAATAAGAATGGCAAAGATTTTTTTCCCGCTTACTGCACCTGTGGATTCCTGTCCTATATTTTTCTTCAAAGTGATCCAGATCCTCTTATATGCAAGGACAAATGGGGCAAGAGGCTATGGGCTATCCAGATCGCTTTATGACTTTCCTTGTGGATAAGTTCCTTCTGTCTGCTTTGGTTTGGAAAGCAGTTGGCCAAAATCAGGTGAGCTAGGAGATACTTTGTAAGTCTACCTGCTTTGTTTGGATTGGTGGAATCTGAGGAAATGCACAGAATCCATGAACCTATCATTTGTGGGTTGGACCCATGCTCTTCCTGGCTTCTGTGGCTAACACATATCAATAGGGCATAAATGAATCTATGTCAGCAGCTTTAAAAGAGGTACTAGTGCAACTTCTCTGTGAAGAAGCCATCTCTCAACTGGTTGTATTTATCAAATTTGCTCAGGCTTCAACCTTACCCTTTTGAGCAATGCTGCAAAGATACCAGTGTCTCAATCACAGAGGATCCAAGAGAAGATGAATTAGATGGATCTCTCCCAATCAGTGTTCCTATGTGATTATGGCACAGTAGATGGAGGAAATGGACTCCCTGAGTCTTATTTGACTTCTTGGTTACCATTAATCATCCTTTTGGATTGCCTGCATGGTTTGGGAGTGAGAGGTACCATTTTGTGATAATTCTGCTCTTCTGGGCAGATGGTTCCAGGCAATAACTATAGGGAATGAGCCATCAAGGCCTTAGCTGCTCTAGTGTGGGATGCCATAGGGAGTAGACCTCTCCCACATTATTTAATATTTATATGAAGCTCCAATATATGAAGTCATGTATTAGTCCGGGGTGATATATTAGCTGGAGAGCTATAGATATCTTGAATTTGCATCTGGAAGTTGTGAGGATCTGAATGGGGAGGAACAAGCACAAACTAGCAAGACAGAGCTGCTGGATGTCCATAAATATCAAAGGGGGGGCGGCTGATTCAATGGAAAGATGTTTTGCTGCCAGAACACTGTAGATTAGACAATGATATGTCTAAACCTTGCAATTAAGAGCAAGAAAACTATTATACTTAAGTTATGCTGATAAAATCCTATGCAGACAATTTCAACTGTTACAGAACAAAAAAAAAAAGGCCTATTCAAACTGTATCTTTCTCCCTAGGGGACATCCAGACAATGGGTCTGATGTGCTTTCCTTCAGTTTGTGAGGAAGTACAAAAGTATGCCAGGATAATATTCTTTTATCTGCACAAGCTTGGTAATGTAGCTAATGAACCATAGTATCCTAAATATTTATTGTGGGCCACTTAAGATGCTGTAATTGATATATTTTTTTGCTATCCGGACCAGTCGGTCCCCCACTGTAGGCTGGAGCGAGGGTGGGAGGCAGATGAGTAGGGTAGGAAGTTCAATCATTTGTCAGAAACTTGGTTTTTGGTTACAACCTCTGGAGATCATGGAACTACTTTAGCAATAATACTGTAGTTATACCACAATCTTTTAAGCAGTAGACTGGCACCTCTTTCAAGTGACTTGTTAGACCTGTACATCAATAAATGAGTAAACAAACAGGTTGCAGAGAATCATTAGAAAATTGGTGCTCATGCAAGATCTCAGTTCTGTTTGGCACGGCTGATTTTCAGCATATGGAGGGAAAACTGAGACAGTACACATGTGCTGCCAGCATGCACAGGGCTTAGGGGGCAAGCAGCTGTTGCCAGTGGATTTCTGTGCATGTGGGGGACTTCTATTGACCAGTGATGCTTTGTAGATGACACTTTTAGAATCACTGATCTAGGTAATGAACATTTATTTAAAATGACGGGACATTATAAGATGATGGTATCATCATAATAAAGAAGCAGCTAATTTATGACTAACAGTGCTTAATTGACCTTGATTAAATTTTTAAATAAAAGGTTAAGTAGAGTAAGATCTGGTTAGCTCTTATTTATTTATCTTGTGCCTTTGAATCAATGTTGACTCATGGCAAAAGCCTGGACAAGTCTCTTTAGTTTAATTGGCAAGATTTCAGAAATGGCCTGCATTTGCCTCCTTCCTAGGATTGAGAGAGAGTGCACTGGCCCAAAGTCATACTCTCATAATCTCCCAGTTCTGGCCTGGTTCCTCAGCCACTGCAATACACCAGAAGAGCTCTCACTTAGTACTTGGTCACAAGGAATTCCCAGATCTATAGGCTAGATTGGGAAATTAAAAAGATATCCCAAAGGAAAGCAACTTCCACATTGTTTCCAGGCAAATTTCATTCATGTAGTCAATAGGAGTCAAAAGATCTATTGCAGCCCCTTCCAAATGAAATCTAATCAACAGTTATTCTTTGGCCATGCCTTCAAAGTTTCAAACAATTATTTTCTTTAATGCTTCAGAAAAGGAAAAGAAGACTTAAATTTCATTTTGATTCGTGCTACGATCTCAAAAATGATCAACAGCACAAATTGGGACAATTTGTATTACTTAAAAACCCCATGTGCTAAATTAAAGCCAATTTTACGTGTCAAAAATATTCTTAAAAATGGGTTATATACAACTGAATGTAGAAGATAGCCATTAAATAAAATGGAATATGTCTTCCAGATGGAGTGTTTCACATTTCACAACTCCTTTAAGCAAATGAAGCCAAATTTTTCCTTCAAAAGAAATAACTGTAAGCTTATATTTGTGAATTTAATTTCCCATAAATTAAGGCACCAGGCTATAAACCAAGAAAGCGTGAGTTCTTACTTCCACCTTAGGCATGAAAGTCAACTAGGCCAGTCACTCTCTCAGGCCAACTCACCTCACAGGGTTGTTATTGAGAGGGAAATAAGAGGAAGAAAGTGAATTAGGTATGTTTACTGCCATGAATTATTTATAAAGAATGATAAAAGTGGAGTAATAAAATCTTTTTAAAAGCCATTATTGTGGTCATTTTGAAGCTGAGTCTTAGGGCAAAGACCCCAAGGACGATGTCTGACAGATCAAGCACAGCCAAAGGGGGGGGGGGGAGGGAAGGAAGTTGGAGGTGTAGAAAACCTTTTTAAGAGGAATAAGACCCAAGTGTTAGGACACAGAACAAATAGCAAAGGAAGCCCTTCTGGTATCCTTCCCTGGCAACTGTACTTACCTCTAACCCTTAACTTCCAGACCATGCCTAGTACTCAACCTGCTTAGTACTTATCTGGAAAGTGAATAGAGGAAAAATAACAACTTCCTTTGATTACTGATCCGGACTTGTAGTAGAGGCCTGCCAATTAGGGACTAGCAGTAAACAGGCGGTGTGCTTCCGAAATAGGTCGTTGAAGTCACCTTTACCGTAGCTTCACTTTTCCGCTTTTCTTCCTTCGGTCCAGCGCGTTTTCCAAACGTCGCCAATTCTTTTCCGTAGGAATGCCGGAGCCAATTGGTGAATAGTCTCTCGTAACTAATAATCTCAAAAGGGTTGGGCACCAGGGCTTCCCTTCCCAGTGTGTACAGAAGAAATTGAAAGCTTGCTCACGCTAGGGGAGGGGAAGGGAGGGGAGGGGAACCCGGCGCTTCCCGCGGCGCGCTGCTGCTTGCCTGCCCGGGACTTCCCTGTTGTACATGAGACACCCACCCACGCAAAGATGGCTGCGAAAGGCTCGCATTTTCACCTGAAAATGGAAGAGGCGATCGAGAGGTGCAGGGCGGACTGCCAATGGGAGATGCAGCTCGCCGTGGTGGCGCAGATGAGGGCGCGGGCATCCAGCCCTCGGCACAAGGGGGCAAAAGGAGACGTTGCCGCACCGCAGAAATCTGGTAAGGCAGTCAACCCGGCCTCTTGAACCGCTGGGATTCCCCCCGTGACCGGCTGCTCTTCGGTAAAAAAAATGGAAGCGGGCGCCCGCCTGTCCTTGTAAGGGTCAGCCGCTGGCTCCTTCCTGCCCAACCCTTTTGCCGGCTCGTCCGCCCCCAGTTCCCGTAATCCAGGGGCTTTGCTCAGTTGGCGGTGCTGGGTTCGCAGAGTGCCACGAACCATAAACTCATCCCACGAGCTGGCTCGGCACGCCTTTGCGACAGATTCGCACGCGGTCAGCTACTGGTGGGTTGCCAGATCCGGCGGGTCCGTCGAACCCAGCCTCTTTTCGCAACTCCCTGGGGCTGTTGCTGCCTCAGCCGCATCCTTAAACAGGCTGGCAGCGATGTGGCGACGACTCTGCCTGGGGTGGGGGGTTGGTTTGTCTCTCTTAGCGTCCCATCGCCTTTGGGAACAGAATTGTTTAGATTCGTTTTATTTTGAGGGGGGAGGGGGAGAGAATTAATTGGCATGTTAGTCCCTCACCCCATCCTCCACCGGGCAACTTTTAAAATCACGCCTGGGGCGTAGCGACGGCTTGTTTGTAGAAACTCTGAATAGTGGGGACCAAGGCTTGGCAATGCACCCTCCATCGCATCCTGTACCGGTTTTACTTTAGCTGGCCTCCTTCGGTTGCCTCTTCCTCTTTCTCATTCTCAGCTTTGCCCTGTGCTCTTGAAGGAGACTGCTCTACCACACTCAAATGCTCTTGTTGAGAATCAGTTCTTAGGCAACCTTGTCTTCAAGAGATGTTTAGTTGAACCCACTGAAATTTACTCTCCTTGGGAATAAATCTCATTGAACTCACAAGTGCTTCTTTCTGAATTAATATGTAGAAGAAGACTGCTTAGATTTAGAACGGAAGTAGCAGTCTTATTCTGACACACACACACACACACAAGGAAAGATACACCAAAGAGTCCAGTGGTGGAGCAACAATGTTCCCTCCTTTCTCCTGACCTGCTGCCTGCAAAGGTGTCCTTGTTGAGCAGCTGGCCCAATTCTGCAAGGCCAGACCATCTGCCCTCTTCTGGAAGGATAAAGCAGCCTCTCAGAATGAGCATCAGGAAAAGGCAAAAAGAAAGACCTTTGAGAACAGGCTGCTCTTTATGTCTGTGCCAGCCATCATGACTGGCTTTGGAAGCACTGAATCCCTTGGAGTTGGATGGCTATGAAAAATGTGAATAAATAAAATAATTAAGCCAACTAGGACCTCTTAGGCTAGAATAAGTGTGGAGGGGATAAAATGCAAGCAGGGTTCCTCTGCTTCTAAAAAAGGTTGCCCCACCATCCAATGAGACCAGGGTTTAAGATCAGTGGTGGGATTCAGATATGTGAACAACTGGTTCTCTGTGTGGATGTCACTTCCGGAAGTCCATTCTGGACCTGGCCAACAAAAAATTAGCTGCCGAAGTGGTGAGAACTGGCTGAATCCCATCAAGGCTGATTGGTATGCCTTGCCACTTTCCATGGGCCTATCACATAAATTAAATGAGAGAAACCTTCCACACCTGATGGTATTTACATGTGTTCAATTACAACAAGGGCTGGCTGAGGATCATGGGACTTATGGCTCACTATTTCAGGTGTATGCTGGCTTGGAGCACTTTAGCCACTTTCCTGGGGGGGGGGAATGGAGCAAAATGTTGATAGAGGCTAAGTAAAATACAGTTTCAGTTTTAAAGAGAAACCTTTCAGTAGAAAATAAAACTGAGAAACATAGAAGGAATGTATTCACCAGCAGCTTGGATTTCCCTCCTCCCCCCTTGAAACCTTTGTCTCAAACCACAACCATTTTGTGTCTGTAGAGGGGCTGTGCCACTAATTTCAAGTTAACTTGTGGGCTCCACCCAAGAGCATAAATGCATACTTGTTGCACCATCAGCATGTATGTTTTCTTCAAAAAGTTTTGCATATGCAATTATTCCAGGAAAAAGAAAATGTGGCAGTAGTGGATAGAGGTGATGAAAAACAAAATAAGTGGAAGGAAAAGAAAAGCAACATCAGGTTTTTTTTTTTTTAAAGGAGGAAAATATGAGAAAGCTTTGCTGTTGCTTTGGGAATATATTCTACTTTAGAGAGTCAAAATAATACAGTAAAATACTACTGTAATATTAAATGGAGTTTGATCTCATATAAACACATGGTTAAAGCTTTGTTGTCCTTTCCAGTAATAGATGATGTTTTCTGAATGTTTACATTATATTCAACACAATTGCTCTTATGAAATCTGAGAAAGCAGCACTCCTGATAAGAGCCTGAAAGTAAAATTCTCCTTTTTTTTGTTGAGAAATAATTTGCACTGTTTTCAGTGGGGTTCTGCTCAGATAACTGGTTGAAACAAGGCTTATTCAACTTTACAGACTTAACATTAAATTGTTATACAGTATTAACCTTGTAGTTTTTTAAAAGATGCATTTAAAGAAGAGCACCAACCATGCAGTTGCAATCATCCTCTTGATCTTTTGATATTCCCCCTGCACACCTCTGGCTGATGCGGTTTTTGAACTCAGATCGTATTTATGATTAGCTGCTAGTTATCACTTGTTTTATTAACATTTTATCTTTTAGCTTTATCTTCTGTCATTATAACTATCCCATTATTTTACCTGTCATAAGATCCCATGGGCAAACAGAATATGGGCAGACACATGAAATTATAGACCATAGGGGTTAATAGTTGAATGTGCTGCCTATTGAGACAAATTAATAGTTTAATCTTGATTTGACTGGCACATAGCAGTTATACCTCTCAAAATTAATTTGCTTCTGGAGTAGATTGTGAGGTTGGAAGATGAGGGTTTCGGGAAGGAAAGGCATAGAAAGTCACATTGTTTGCATAGATTTTTTTTATTCAGTCCTTAATGCTGGTTAAGTTAGAGTGCAGTTTTATGTATGCATACTGAAAAGTAAATCCCATTGCGTTCAGTTATAATTTACTATGTAAGTATACAGAGGCCTGCACAAAATCTAGAATTATTGTACAACTTGTCTTATTAATTAGATTTCTAGAACACAGTAACATTTATATAAATAATTGTGATTTTATTTCCAACAAAGTTTTCATGACTGAATCAAATTCTGTCTGATTCTTTAAATAAGCCAGCAGAACAATCTGGTGTTTATTTCTCAAAGAGTTTATATTTACAAATCTGAAGTAGAATACATGACACAGGACATTGATTAGTATTTCTAAATAAGAAAGTTTCTGAGAAATGTCTATAAATGTATAGATAATCACTCAAAGTGGATTCCTATTACATAAACAACTTTTGCACTCTGGGCAAATTTCCTTATGCAAGGAAATGTTTATATAATGGCTAAAGTTCTGTTTATCTTTCTGTCCTGCTATATATGGGAACATATCACAGTGTGTAATTTTTTATTCCATTGACTATGTCTTACAGATGACTATGAGAATCTACTAGCTGCAGAGGCACTGTTGGAGCTGTGCTTAAAAGAGAACCTTGCCAAAATCAAAGAAACCATACCATTAATGGAAAAAAACGAGCCCAAACTGAGTGACGCCAAAAAATGTTTGACTGACATTCTAAATCGAGGGAAATTACTGGTAGGCATTCTAGAGAGAAACTAAAAAGAGCATTAAAAATGCTGCTAATGATATACAATCTAATGGTTTAGATAACAAAAACCTATCTCCCTGATACCATTCCTGATGCATTTATAAAAAAACTAAAATAATTTCTTTCTGCAACCATTTTCAAAAGAATGTTGGGATTTGTTACAATTTACTAAATTAAACTTTCCGCACTATATAAATTAATAGGCAAATTCTGTCTTCCAAGAACCAACCCTTCTAGAATGGCATAATTCGCATGAAGAAATGAAGCTATTAGCAGGTTTTGAGGGAGATGAGGGTTTGCAGAAATATAGACACACTTTAGGGATGCCAGTCAAGGGTTGCCATTGAGGATCAAACATAAACAAGGGTCAAGAAATATTGCTGACTTGCAGGAAGGGAAATAATTGGGGATGGGGTGGTGGGGAATAGAATACAGTGTCTTAGTGAAAGACATGAATGGTTGAGTACTGGGTTCCCAAATTAAAGCTACTAAGACTCTTGAACATAACTTGGAGAAGGTGCTTTGGAATGTTTGATAATATGATCATAGCACCTCTTGTATCTTTTCTTAGGATTCTGTGTGAGCCTAAAAAAAGGATGTAGCTATCTTAGTAAATCATATCAATTGACTCATTAAAACAACTACATCTTTTTTATGACTTTAACTGTGACAGTGTTTTATTGCAGGTCCACATGTGTCTATAGATCTGTTTTAGCAGCACTAATGTACACGAGACTTTCTTTTTAGAAAAAAACCAATGAGACCTTATGATGGGCAGAACAGTCTAACTCAGGGGTAGGCAAGCTTGGCTCTTTTATGACTCATGGACTTCAACTCCCAGAATTTCTGAGCCAGCTGGCTCAGGAATTCTGGGAATTGAAGTCCATGAGTCATAAAAAAGCCAAGCTTGCCTACCCCTGGTCTAACTGTACGCTTTATTGTTATGAAAGCTGCCAACTGACCCTTTCTTTGGTCTGCTGCTTGAACATTTCCACATGGGGTAGTTTATTCGGGAGTCATAGCTTTGATTCAGCATGGTGGGATTTTGTGTCTCTCTCAAAGCCCCGACTTCTAAAAATCTGCATTAATTCATTAATGTGAGTCTTCATTACAAATTGGGAAAGTTACTATTTTGTACAAGTATTATATATAAAAAAATTAGGGAAGCTTGATAAAAATATTTCCTCGACTTACGACCACAATTGTGCCCAAAATTTCTGTTGCTAAGTGAGACAGTTGTTCAGTGAATTTTATCCCATTTTACAACCTTTCTTGCCACACTTAAGTTAATCACTGCAGTTATTAGGTCAGTAATAGTGTTGCTAAGTGAATCTGGCTTCCCCATTTACTTTGCTTGTCAGAAGGTCGCAAAAGGTGATCTCATGACCTTGGGATACTAGAGCCGTCATAAATGTGAGTCAGTTGCCAAGCATCTGAATTCTGACCATATGACCGTAGGGATGCTACAACAGTTGTAAGTGTGAAAAATGGTCACTTTTTTCAATGCTGTTGTAACTTTGAACAGTCACTAAATGAACTGTTATAAATTGATGGTACCCATATTGAAATAAGTTACTAATTCATTTGATCTAGCATAACTATGAAAAAAAATAATCTGCCAATTTTTCAATTTTTTAAAATCTAGAATTAATTTATACTTAATTTAAATGACTAGCAAAGTGGTTATTATTGTTATGTTAGCCATGCATTGACTTTCATGCTATGAGGCAAACTTCCAAATCCCATCTCCTACAAATGGCAACCCTGAGTAGCCCTACACATCAGATTCTCCTAAGGTATTTTTGGTTTGGAGAATGTGAATGTGACTGAGAAATAGCTGTACTATTTCTGTACTATAGCTGTGGGGATGAACCATTTAGAGGTGGTGTTCTTAAGATAAGTTTTAGCATTTGTGTTGTCACAAATAAAGCTTTGTGTGTTTCAAATCACTCTATTGCTTAAAGCTATAAATTGCACAAACTGGGCTGTATTCATACAGTGTTAGGAAGATTCTGGGGCATCTGCTTAGTCAAGGTTCATGGCCTTTATACTAGCACTGTGGTGCTCAAGCTGGTACATTTGGTAAAAGCAGGGTAATGGTTACTTAGAATGAATGCAGCCTAGTGCTGCAATTAAATTGGATGTAAGAGGAGGCTGATGTAGGATTATATTGGAATAAGATTTAAAATTCCCTTGTTTGAAATGTTGTAACTTTTTAAAGCAGTGGTTCTCAACCTGTGGGTCGGGACCCCATTTGGGGTCGAACGACCATTTCACGGGGGTCGCCAAACAACGCAGTCCGCCATTTTTTCCCCCTTTTCCTTAGCTGTGCTACTCCCTTTTATTCTATTGGCTTTTGAAAGCCAATAGAATAGACTCTCTTGAATAGAGTCTAATTCTATTGGCTTTCAAAAGCCAATAGGAATTGTCCAGGCTGTCTCTGCCCTGCTGAGCCCGCCAAAAGTCCCATTCTGCAAACGGTGCTGCACCAGTTGAGTAGTCCTCAACTTACGACTGGTTGAGTAGTCCTTGACTTACGACCGGTTGGGGATCGCGGCATTAAAAAGGTTGAGAACCACTGTTTTAAAGGATAGCTGAAATGTGTTCACTTTTGCTCATGGTAGGTGTTGCCGTACATATTTCTTTTTATGAAGCAGCTTAAAATTTTGCCGTGCTTACCCAAAATTTCTTCATAAGGAAAATACTTTGCATCCCTAGAGCAATTTTGAAACTGCAGTCAAAGTACACTAGTAAAATTCCACTTCACATAGGATAAGTGTTCTTGGAGATTTGTGGAAGAAAATCAGATAGCTCCATCCATTGATGGTGGGGGCTCTGTTGTAATGACAGAATGTTCCTGTTCTTAAAAGCTGTCTTATTAATTTCAGTAGACGATGAAGGTCCAACCTGTATATTTTTTTTCAAATTAACTGAGGGATCTGCACTCATTATAGTTTGCCTCAAAGCTCACAAAGGTTTTGTTAACCAAATGCTTGATTCCATGTGATTTTGAATAGCAAAATATTTCCAAAACAAATATTGTTTAGCTACAGCTTTATTATATTACTAATGAACATTTTAATTTCCCAGCCAAAAGATATGACAGAAGCAATGTTGCTCCTTGCAAAGCTTCATTATATTGAAGGCTGTTACTGGGAGACTTTAAGCATGTATGCAAGAGCTGGCCTTGAAGACATTGTAGTGGAGAAGAAACCTTTATACAAGCTGCGTCTGCTAACCGAAGCTTTTGTTATTAAAGGTAATGGGAGTTGTCTGTGGTCACTGATTTCTGATTTCACTGTGTCAATGCTGTAGAAAATCAGCTCATATAACCTTATTTATTTTATCCTTCAAAAATTTTATTTTATTTTATTTTATTTAGATGAAGTTGCACTGAGTTTAAATTTAGAAAAGCTGATGAGGTATGGAATATAATAAACAAAATTCTAATTCATACATAGTACATATGCCTGGCTAAACTATTGATTTTTGATTAGCCCTATAGATATCAATAATTTAATTTGTAAAAACAAGCAAACAACATTCCGCATATTTCTTCGGTTTCTTTGGTCTTCAGTAATAGGCTGAAATTAACTCAACAAGGGAAATCAGTAGCACTATAATATTTTGTTCCTTAAAAAAGTAGAAAAACAGTCAGGAGAACATGCCAGCGCTACAATACAGTACTGCAGATTTGTATTTTAAAATGTCATGGTTTTCCTGTTCTGAACATGGAATATCATGCTGGCTAGTGAATTCTGGCAGTTGAAGTCCACATACCGTAAATTTGTCAAGCAGGAGAAATGGTGCTCTACCCAACACTTTGGACTGTATATGACATGGTGTCTTTGGAAGAGTAAATGACTATTAAACAAGTTTATGTATATTGCAGATAAACTATGAAAAAGACAGAAAAATGAGTAAAAGTAGAAGAAGAAGGACAATATTTTTTAAAAAAAAACAGCTCAGTTGTATGTAACAGAGTCAGGTGAAAGATCTGAAAAACTCAAAGAGTGCTGCCTTTGATGACATGAAGTAGGAATACCGTAACTCTTAAACAAGAAGTTTGCTTCCCCCCCCCCCAAACTAAAGTGACAATGTGTTTGTAAAGAAGCAGTGGTTCTTAAACTAGGGATGCCCAAGGGGATAATTTGGGCATAACCTGGGGGTTTATTTGTAATTTTTTCTTTGGGAGTGAAGGATCCAGGCTGAGACTGATGCTTGTGCAAAACAATGGAATCTGGTTTCTTTTGTGAGGGTAATGACAATATTTAAGATCAAGGAAAAAAGGGTTAATGGGTCAGTTTTAAGACCCACTCTGCTGGCAGATCACACCACTGGCTCTTTTCTACAGCTTTTTAGTGCTTATCAAACTGACAGTATTTGGTTCTTCTTTCTTTTGTAGTATACTTACATTTCTCCTTGCTGCATTTTCAGCCATTGTACAATAATACTAATAATCTCTTCTCTGTGTGTCTTTTTATTCTATGTTTGGAAAATAGGCAAGTTATCAAAGGGTTTATGATTCAGCTGTTTGTCTGGGAAACCTGGAAAAATTATCTCTGCTTGCATTCTTCATCTTCTGTTTCCTTTCAGTGCTGTTTATGAATGCTGCTGAAATAGTTGCTCTCTGCCTATCCTCTTCTAACTTTTTCAGCATACCAGTCCACTTATTAGGTGAATAGAGGGTGGAGTGATCAGATATCTTCAACTGGTATGTAAAAATCAAAGTTAAAACACCATATTACTATTGCAATGAACTTTCTGATCATCAGGCATGATCTGTGCTTCCTGTTTCCCCAAGGGGCCACACCTAAGAATGTCTCTGCTATTCTATTGGCTTTGGGGGATGCGCCATTGGTACCTATTTGTGAATGGTTATTGGATTAGCATTTAGAAATGATATCCTCCAATTATTAATAAGAAATCTTTAGAAATTTTGATATGCCTAGCTTACTTACGGTGTGTATATTTTATTATGATTTTACTTGCTACCACGAAAAGTTCCTAATTCACAAGAATTTCTTTTTGCTAGCCTACCTGCCCACTTTTGCTTTTGTGAACATCAGATAGTCTACGAAGCATCCTGGTTTACTTAATTATTTAATTTAAACAGGCCTTTCCTGCTTACAAATATATGCATAGTTGCATAAAGATCACATACAGAGTTCTTGGATAGGTATTTCTGAGGGCACTTTAATGATAGCATTTTGATAGATTTAGCTCAGGTTCTTAACATGCTGAATAATAATTTAAAATATAGGAGTCATTGATCAGGTTCAGTTAAAATATTATGCTATGATTCTGAAAAAGAATGGGCTTAGCTATATTTGGGTACATGTAGTCTGTTATTCCTCTTCTATGGTTCCCTACTAAAATTCCCAGAAATTACAAATATAACTTGTATCTGACCTGTATGATCCTAAAAAAGTAACTCTTGTCAAAGGAGCAATATGAGAATGAAGAGACTGCATCCATCAGCCAATGTGTGAGCAACTCATTTAAGTGAATCTAATTCATTTATTCTGTGCAAATCCACTAAATATTTGCCAGTAGGTATATAATGATTTTGTCATTTTTCCTGACAGCTATGCTGATTTTGATATATATTGCAAAACCAGATAGACGCTAAATCATAAGTGTTTGGTTTTGGTCTGAGAGTGTTGCATGAATCCAATTATAATGGTTTAGTAAGTGTTTTATGCACTCATGGCTTTGAACCCAATCAACTGCACCAAAAGTGTTTTTCAAAAGGCAACTGGATTTCGTTTTTTCTTCTTCTTGAAAACACTTCACTTCTTATCCAACAAGCTTGTGGCTGAATGGTGGGGAATGGAAGGATTTATATTCCTTACCAGTCATCTGGTTGTTAACACTCTGAAGGTCCGTCATTAGCTCTCTGAGAGTTGTTGAGGCCATTTGGAGGTTTATCTGTACTTTCAGGGTCATCTGAATCAGAGTGCAAATGGATGTGGAACCTTCTGGGGTCTCCTGTAAGAACTATGCTGTAGACAGGGGATAGGTGGTGTTCATATCCCCCCCCCCATTTGAGAAAGGGCTGTTCAATTTTAATATAGATGGCCTTTTTGACCCCTCATACAAACCAGTGGGCCTTTCTGTCCAGAATGTGGACTTTACCAAGAGTGACTTTTGTCTTTCAGACAAGGTCATTCTTTTTTTTTTTTTTTTTTTTTTTTATTGAAATTTTTCAAAAGTTTTACAAATAAAAATCCACCCCCCCTCCCCAACCACCCCACCCCCCCCCGACTTCCCAGAACTGAATATAGGATTATTTAACAAATATTTTAAAAATAACATTTGCAATTTATAAAATAATTAATAATAATAATAAAAATCACAATAATAATATATATAATAATAATATAGATAACATAAACTTTAAAATGAATAATATATACTAAAAAAGAAAAAAAAAATAAAAAGAGAAAAGAGAGAGAGAAAGAAGAAAGAAGAAAGTAGACGAAGAATAAAGCATATATATATATAAAAAAAAATATATGAATAATAATACATAAAAAATGTATATATATAAAAAAGAAAAAGAAGAAAGAAAGAAAGAAAAAACAATCATTACAAATTATAAAAAGGCTAGATAATATTTTTCCATATCCAAATTATGTTGTATAAAATTTATCCATTTTTCCCATACCGCAAAAAAATTTTCTTGAGATTGCTCCTTTAAGAAAGCCGAAATCTTTGCCATTTCTGCCAAATACGAAACTTTATGAAACCATTCTTGTAAAGTAGGCAAAGATTCCTTCTTCCAATATTGTCCTATTAACAACCTAGCGGCTGTAATCAAATTTAACATCAATATAACCTCCTTAGCATCACAGTCAATAACAATACCTAGTAAAAATAATTGCGGAGTAAATTTTACCCTCCTTTTAAAAATTCTTTGAATATTCCACCATATCTTAATCCAAAAAGCTTTTATATGCTTACACGTCCACCAAATATGGTAATAGGTAGCATCCAAATATCCACATCTCCAGCATTTCGGCTGTAGATTAGGGTACATAATGGACATTTTCTTTGGGTCAAGGTGCCATCTATAAAACATCTTATAAAAATTCTCTCTTAAATTTTGCGCTTGTGTGAATTTAACATTTCTTATCCAAATAAGTTCCCAAGTATCCATTGAAATCGTTTCACCAATATTCTGTGCCCATTTAATCATACAATCTTTAACTAGTTCAAGTTCTGAATCTAATTCCACTAAAACCCCATAAACTCTCTTAATATGGGTTGGCCTTTGATCTCTTACTTGTTTTAAAAAAATTTCATCTTCTCTAAGCCAGCCCATTTTACAATCCATCTTCCATCTATCCACTATTTGTCTATATTGGAACCATGAATAAGTTAAGTTTTCATGTGTTAATTCTTCCAAAGATTTTAACTGCCAGTCTTGGCCATCCCATCTTAATAACTGTACGTAAGAGACCTTGTCCATATTTACCCCTTTCCTTATACCTTCTATGGCATGCCGAGGTATAGCCCATAATGGTATTTTGAAGTCACTTTTATAATACTTTCTCCACACTCTTAGCAAAGAGTTTCTTATAATATGAGACTTAAAAACCCAATCCACTTTTTTATTAAATATTAAATAGGCATGCCATCCAAAAAATAGGTCCCAGCCTTCCAAATGAAGTATTTCTGTATTTGTTAAATTCACCCAGTCGCTAATCAATGTCAATACTACAGCATCATAATACAATTTCATATTTGGTACCTTGAGTCCACCTCTCTCACGAAAATCTTGCATTATTTTAAGTTTCACCCTTGGTTTTTGGACAAGGTCATTCTTTTGAAGACACTAAAGAGCAGTTAAAGTCCTAGCCTTGACTATGAATGTGCAAAGTCAAGGCCATGCTTTAATATTTGTTTGCCTCTGCAGAAGCCACCAGCTGGGGTGGTTATGTCACTGGATTGGAGGTGGCTAAATGTTTCAATCTCTTTTTAGAAGGTTTTGAAGTAAAACAGATATCTTAAGATTTGTGGAGGTGTGAACCATGCATGTTGCCTTTTAGAATTCAAGTGGGAGGAAGTTGTGGTTTGGTAGGAAAAGAAGGTTTTTTTTTCTTTTTAATGAATGAAAGAAGTACTTAACCCTCTGCAAATGTTAGGGCATCAGTTATTCTCTTAAATCCCTTACCCAAAAATGAACAAAACAATAAAACAAAAATTCACTATATACTCAAACCAAGGGAACTCTGGGTGCTTGGGAGCCACATGTGACCCTGGAGCTTCCCATCCCTGTCTTAAGACTTAAAACTGTTTTTACCCATAGTAGCAGTTTTTAGATTGAGTTTGTTTGGCTGTCCTGATTAGACCCTATAATACTTCTGAAGGAGTGCTACATTCCAACCACAATAACAAGCAAGCAGTGGAAAATATACCTGATCTCTTGGGGGGAGGCACAGGTGCTGCATGTTGTTATTAAAGATTTGGTTCCTTAAGCCAGCCTATTGTCCTTTATAGAATGGATTCTGGCTGAAATGCAGGCTTTTGCCTTATTTCATGCAGTCTCTCTCTAAGCAATCTCTTCTGCCTTTTGGCTTTACACTATACTGGAACATAACCCATAGATCAATTTATCTCAACAGAATACAACAATCCTTAAGAAAACCAAGCATAATTCCACCAGGACTTAAAACATTTCCTCACAGCTGAGTAATATGCATTTGTCCCATCCTTGAGTTGATAGAAAACTATATTGATGTATTTTGCACTGGCCAGGTTTTACTGTGCTTCAGCAGTGAGAAATTGTCCTTATATATTCAATGTGGGGCAGTTTCAAGGCAGTGATTGGTGGGTTTCTCAAGTTCCTTTTCCCCTTGCACCCATTGTTACTTCTTGGTAGGAAAAGTAGGCACCCACTTTTCTTTTCTCCCTAGGATTATTGATTTCCTGAACAAAAACACCGCTGCATGACATTTGGGAGAAATCCACTATGCAGATTAACTTGATTGCCTTCTCATTCTCCTTGTGACCCCACTAATTGATCAGCCAGAATCCCACCCCCACAAGTTTATTAGATAACTATAAAAGGAGTACAGGAGGGATACAGTTTAGTCCCATTTTACAATCTTTCTTGCAACAGTTAAGTGAATTACTGCAGCTGATTAGTTAGCAACCCAGCTGTTAAGTGAATCTGGCTTCCCCATTGACTTTGCTTGTCAGAAGGTCGCAAAAGGTGATCCACTGCAACCATCATAAATATGAGTCATTTGCCAAGCATCTGAATTTTGATCACATGATCATGGGGATGCTGTAACAGTCATGTGAAAAACAGCCATAAGTCACTTTTTTCAGTGCTGTTGTAACTTTGAACAGTCACAAAATGAATTGTTGTAATGCAAGGACTAGCTGTATTTTGCTTGATATGGCTTTTAATGGACTGCTTTTGCCAGGGGTTTTCACTTTTGATGTTGGAGGTGGGGGGGGGGAGACAGAGAGAGGGAGAGGGAGGGAGAGAGAGAGAGAGAGAGAGAGAGAGAGAGAGAGAGAGAGAGATGACCCACACGATTTTAATCCTTGAAGTTAAGACTGCATTAATGATCAAAGTTCAGGTCTTGTAATAATAGCAGTAATAAATGGAAGGGCTTTTCCACTCTCCTCTGTACATTCTGTTCCAATTTCCAGGCTGACCGTGTAGGCATGTTGAAGAAAAAAATAACCTGGGGTGTGGAGGTACAGTGTAAGGTAGCTAAGGACAAAATAGATAGGAACAGAGAGAAGGAACTCAGGAAATTGCTACATCTGAATAAGACCTTTTAATCTCTGAAGCTCACTTTTATCTATAATGAGTGGCTGTATTTGTACAGAGGATCAGAGAAGGATTTTTTCAGGTTTATTTGCAGGTGCCAGGAATTCCACTGAGGACTTTCTGTCTGCAAAGGTACCTTTACATGATTTCTATTTAAAGAGAGGAAAAGGAAGATAAGAATGTGACATATGGATTGAATGGAGAAATACAGAATTCTAATTAGAGAGGCAGAAAAAGATGGTATTAGAATTGACCTTATTTGTGGAACTGAGCCTGTCCCAATCTTAATTATTTGTATATATATTTATCTATAATAATTTTATGGACAGTTGCCAGATTCCACATGTATACTTACATAAGAAGCTGGTTTAAATTATTAGGATGAATGAATGCTATATTGGCTATAATGAATATATTCAGTATATTTAGTATAATATAATGCAACATACAATATAATGAATATAATGCCATCAATATCTAGTGGATTTTCAACTATATCTGAGGGGGAAGGGAGATCGACAACCACATTTAAGCATAAGCCCAAAGGCATTAAATCTTACAAATCAGCAAGTGATAAAGAAGGAGTGCTCAGAAATACACTAGGTAGGAGATGCAACAGGCAAACCTAAGAAGGCTCAATTGCTTATTCACAGAGTATGAAGAACAAACCAGGAGAACTTGAAATCCTAGTATGGGTGGTGGTGGTGGTGGTGGAATATGACATTATTGGTGTAATTGAAACCTGGGGGGATGGAACTCATAGTTGAAATACAATACTGGAAGAATATAATTTGTTTTTTTAAAACAAATAAACAAAGAACAACCATCCTAAAGCTCTGGGATAGCCTGAGGATTCTTATCCTCAACAAAGGGTTGGATTAGAAGTCTTTATAACCCCTTGATTGTGTGTGTGTGTGTGTGTGTGTGTGTGTGTGTGTAAAGAAGACAACTTGCTGTAGAGAGGGTTTTTTATATTTGTTTTCTGCAAAACTAGGAAAAATAGAGAGCTTTACAATTTACATACTGTAGCTTCTTGCTGCAATTCTGTTACTAATCTGAAAACTTTGCTCACCACCCCCTTTTGATTTTAAAAATATCCTTTCATATTGCTCATATGGATGCAAACATGTATATTTAGCTAGATGATAGCAAGAAGGTTAATCCCCCCCTTTTAAAAAAAACATCATGGGAAGGGAATCAGTGGCAGTAGTCTAGCTATAATATAAAAGATATTACTCTTCCTGAGGCTGAAGTAATCTATGCTCTTGGAATTCAAGACCAACCCCAAAGACCACACAACAAAATCCACTGAGTCCAGTCCTTTATTTGCTTACATCTAACCATGGACAGAACCTTGCTAGACTATAGCTACAACCTTCTAACCTACTAAATACAGCCTGAGAGATTCTAGGGTGTGGTTGTCCTGAAGCTCTCCCCCTTAAATCAGGATATAAGATTTAAATTCACTCCAGTAAATAACCTCCAGCTATGTTAGACTTCTCTAGATAGTGAAGATTATGGGGATGGTTGCACGAAGTGAGAACTAATTGATAGTTAGTGCTTTTCAGCATGGCATTGAAAGACACTGCTGCTGTTTTCATAGGCTTGGCACTGGAACGCTCACCCAATTCCACTGCTTCTCAAGTCCGACTGTCAGAAAGAGAAGAGGAAGTCATGATTTGCTTTGAAAGGGCATGTGTAATCGCTCAGATTTTCCTGCAAGAACTGGAGAAGGTAAATTAGAGTCAGCTCGATATCACTGTTATATCACTGTTTAACTTGTTTTCCATTAAACGAAAGCCAGAAAATGTGCTAAATTATATACGCTGGGATCATGCCTGATGCTCATTTTTATTCTGCTTTCCCTCCAATATGCTCGAGATGCTGCTCTCTTTTGCTCATCTAATACTTCTCTGAGGTGATTAAGTCCAAATAGCCCAAGACTTCATGCACCTGGCTGAATGGGAATTTGAATCAGATCCCTGTACGTAATTTTATATTTTAGCACCACATTTTGCCAGCTTTTTGAATATTGAATTTCAGAACACAAGTTTGAAAATCACTAAAATACCACAGATAAAAATGTAAAAATAATAACAGAACAGAACAGAATAGAATAAATTTATTGTCATTTTAAAGATTCTGAGGAAAATTGCCAGATTTTGAATAATGTGTGCTATATCAATTGTACTTTATGCAAAACTGTATTATATGCTTTTACTGTATTTATCTAAAATGAAGACTATTTTTTTCTACAATCAATTTACCTTTAAAATGGGAAGGTCATCTTAGCTCAATTACAAATTTGATAATAGGTGCCTCTCAAGTTTCTCTTTTATTTTGTATGTTGGGGTCAGAAGCCATCTTAAATTCAAGGTTATTTTACATTTGGGTAAAGAAAAGTCTTCAGGTCATGCTCAATTCCTGGTCCACCATGGTATTTTCTTGACAACTGTATGGAAGTGGATTTGCCATAATCTTCTAATCTAGGATGTTTTAACTCTTGCATTTAGCAGCATCCCATTGAGCTACTAAGTAGGTTTGATCCTCTTTAGCTTTTTTGTGATCAACCAAGTTTGATGTGCATCCACAAAAGGAACATCAAATGCAGGGAACTATTGACTAAATGTGCCTCTTTATGTTATTATGCAAATACAGTAGCTTACGTAAAAGATGGGAAGATTTAATTGTAACTGACACAGTTCGACATCATTGCAAATTGCTGCAGATGTTATTATGCTATCTAGTTGGTAAAGATGGTAATTTGATTACAGACTATTGAATAATCTATCATGTCTGTTCAGTAGTTTGGATTTGAAGGTGCGTTGGACTGTATATGGGACTAATGTAAGACCCACTGTCAGTGCCTTAAACCGAATCTATGTTTTCCTGAGATCACAGTACAGCTATGCTGGAAAAAAATGCAGCAGCTTTTAGGAGTTTCCAAGAGGTGCTCTGTGAACACCCTCATGCACTCCAAATCACTTTTTTCCCCCTTCAAAACTTTTTTCCTTTCAAGTCACTGCACAGCCCTAATTTTGGGCTCAGAGAAGGGCAAGTATTGATTTGTAATCCATCCAGTTTATGGGATCCAGTACTCAGATGCTTAACCACTTTTCTGTTTTTTTTCAGTTTCAATTAAACAATACAAAGGAGAGAGCTATTGAGCCTTTAATGGGTTACCATTTGTGGTTTTAGCTGTTCTTTTGTTTATAATTTGTGACTCTTAAATTATGTAGATCTACTTAGTATATTGCCAGAAATACAGAGGGAAATATAAGGATCTTTCCCTGGTGATCCTTACGAAGCCAGCACAAAAAAATGGCCAAACTATAAAGGAATAACAAGGGTAATTCAAAGCAAATTTCAAATTATCTTTACCCCATCCTCTTTCCCTTATATTAATCATTTTCTCTGACCTTTTGGAGGAAGAATAGAATAACTATTAAGCAAAATTATTGTTCATATTTATCTGTCATCTCTCTCTATCTCCTATTACCAGAGGTTTAATAATACACATACAAGAAGCATAAAAGGCAGTCAGATGTCTTCCTTGGATTTTGAACTTCCTTACTTTCTGGAAGCAGCTCTACAAAGTGCATATGTGGCTCATTTAAAGAGAGGGTAGGTATGGTTTCACATAAAAAGCTTTGGATATAGTTCTGTTCAAAACTACCAGTAGATAATAAAAGATACAAGCAAGAACTGCTTGAAATTGTACAATGTTGACATACTTATGAAATAAGGAGATGTTGAAGTAAGGTCTTTCACTGGTCCAAATTATGATTGAGTAGCAGGAATGGATTTTCTAGTCTTCCCAAGATACAGGTAGTCCTTGACTTACAACAGTTCGTTTAATGACTGTTCAAAGTTACAGCAGCACTGAAAAAGTGACTTATGACCATTTTTCACAGTTACGACCTTTGCAGCATCCCCATGATTATGTGATCAAAATTCGTATGCTTGGCAACTCGTTCATATTTATGACTGTTGCTTGGCAACTGGTTCATATTTATGACTGTTGCTGTGTCCCAAGGTCATGTGATCACTTTTTGCGACCTTCTGACAAGCAAAGTCAATGGGGAAGCCAGATTCACTTAACAACTGGGTTACTAACTAATCAACTGCAGTGATTCACTTAACTGTTGCAAGAAAGGTCGTAAAATGGGACTAAACTCACATAAAAATTATCTCACTTAACAACAGAAATTTTGGGGTTAATTGTTGTAAGTCAAGGACTACCTGTATTTGTTTTCAGCATCAATGAAAAAGGTGCCCTGGAGGCAAACAGGTTATACATGCATAAAGCTAATTCCTAATTTTGGTTGAGTGGGTTTGTTTGAATACCCCCGAAATCAATCCTGTGTTCAGTTGATAAAAAGATGTACCACTTGTATGTTTAAGAAAACATTACCAATCTTCATTTAATCACCAAAAAGGAACGATTAATTGTTAGCAGAGGTATCACTCTAGGATTCTAAATTAGAAGAAAATTTAGTTGTAATTCTCTCCCCACTGTTTTAATACAGAGGATCAGTATAGGAGGAAGAAAGATTGGATTGGATCTCTTTTTTTCTCTGCCACAAGAGGGTGCAGACAGATCTCTTCATAAGCCAAGTAAACAAAATGTGGAAAGTGAACTGGGTCACTTGATGTTCTCATTAGATGAGTGATTTCTAAATGTGGTATGATTAGAGAAATGATTTTGTTTCTTAAGTTAAGAGAAGTATGTAGAGTTCTTCTAAGTGCAACAAATCCTTACAGGGTGTGGTGTGATTTCAGGGAATAAAATTTTCTGGTACGTGAGTTATGTGTCTGTGTGCATCTGTTTCCTTTCAGATAGGCACTTCAAATTTTTTGACATCTCAAGTGCACATTTCTTGATGTAAAATAAAATATTAACTGGTTTTCAGATTGAAACGGGAGGAACTTCTATAGAGAGCTCATGGATTCTAGCGGTCTGCTATGTAGTTTACAGCATTCTTGATAAAAGGATAATCAGCTTCTGCTTAAATACATTCAGTGAAATAGTGTTTATCAAAGCAGCACAAGATACAGCTCTTAATACTAGGAAGTTTCTCCTTTTTAATAGCTAAAATCTGTGTGAGATAGACTATAAGTCATGGGGAAAAGTGGGTTTACTGTCAACAAAACTAATTTACAACATATCCTAAATTCAGGGAAAGAAATGTACAGATTATCTGAACCAAGAATGGGTAGCCAATCTAAGGACAGTAGTTGAAGACTGTGACACAGTTATTCTGTAGTAATAAATAGAGATATATGTTAGGCTAAGCATTAAACTAGGTTTAATATATTTTAAAAAATGTCTCCAAACTAAGCTGGGGAAAAAACTGGTTCCGCTAGTATATTCTACCTTAGTCTAAGAGCTGAATATAAAGTAACATGCTTTGTCTGCCATGTTCTTTCCTCAGCATTATCCTGTGCAATAGGTTAGGGTGACATCTGAATCCATAGTACTACACCTCTGTTCTGACAACTCTTTTAGCCAAGTACACTAGGAGAAGGCACTGCCTTCTGATAAACCTTAAGTATGAAGTGCAAGTTCTTCTTATCAGTCACCATCTGGGAAAGTAGTCTTTGAAGGTTTGCTGACTTGCTTTATTACTATTAATTAACATACACAATTAACAAGTGTGCATATATATGTATGCATATAATTTATGAATGTACATATGTACATATATTTAATATAAGAGATATTCTTTTGTTGTTCATAATTCATGGACAATTCAGCCTTGCTTTTCCCACTTGATTTTTTTTTTCTTTAGCAACATTATTCAAGGAATAAGAAATCTAAGAGAATTGTTAAGGACCATGGAAACAAAAGCTACTCAGAGCTTCAGAATGGTAAGCTCAATTCCCTGGATTCCACATTAGCTTTCTGGGCAGAAGCCTGTAAACCTTCCTTCCTTCCTTCCTTCCTTTTTAGCACATAAACCTAGTGTTGCAATTCTGAGTTAACTAATTGGTTAATATGGTCAAATGGAATTTAACATACCTAACTTTGATAGTTTCTTCTACTACACAAGACTATTATAAAATCTAGGTGGGAGAAAATTATATAATTCTGCCTAATGTAAACTTTTGTAAAAATTGTCTTCTCACATGGGCCTTAGTTACATTTCTGTAGAAACAGCATACTAATAGACAGAGATGAAAGGAAGAGCTGGAAAGGAAGAGGTTCAAAAGTTGCATTTGAACAGACTGGATCAGAGGTTTGGAATTTTGAGTTGATCTGGGATGGAGCAAGGTTCATTTTAGAGCAGTGGTTCTCAACCTGTGGGTCAGGACCCCATTTGGGGTCGAACGACCATTTCATGGAGGTCGCCAAACAAGGCTGTCCGCCATTTTTTCCCCTTTTCTTTGGCCACGCCCTTGGCACCCGGTGATGTATAAGTGGTTAGGGGTCACCACAACATGGGGAACTGTATTATGGGGTCGCGGCATTAGAAAGGTTGAGAACTACTGTTTTAGAGAGTTTCAGAGTTCTTCTTTCCTCCAAGAGCTATTTCAGTCAGATTTTATGTGTTTCTGGGAACTTTTTCAACAGCGTCAGCAACAGTAGCTACAAATGACAGGAACTGCAAGAAATATAGTCCCATAGTTCTAGCAGCTGCAGGTATGCTGAGTGCCATTTTTAGCATTCAAAGATGCTGCACCCACATCCAGATTACTGCATAGTATGACCATTTATAACCATTTGCCTGTCAAAATATTAGTGTAAATTTTTGTAGTATCAAAAGAATGAAGCATGGAGCCTGCATTCAGCCTGTTTCAGAACATATTAGAAAAGACCCACTTACTCTGAAACTAAAAACTATTCTATTTCAGATTAACAATCATATAAGCTTATATGTATAAGGGAAAATCATTTTAGCTTTTTTCCTCTGTTGGTTAATGCAGTTATTGAAGATTGTTTACATATATAAATTTTAAAAATGCCCAACACCAAACAACTGGGGTACTTTACACTATAAAAAGATTAGAACAATAAAATGAAAGAAGAAAGAGATGTGTGCCCATGAAAAAGAACCATGCAAAACAAACCCAACTCTTATATAGGGGTTCATCACCCAAGATGAGCAAAAATGGAACCGCATCAGGATGGGAGCCATATGGCTATTTCGGGGGGGGGGGAGATACTATTCTAGAGGGCAGATACTCTAGTACAGCGGTTCTCAACCTATGGGTCGCGACCCCATTTGGGGTCGATCGACCATTTCACGGGGGTCGCCAAGCAAGGCTGTCTGCCATTTTTTTCCCCTTTTCCGGCAGGTGCCTTACCTCCCTTGGCTGGGTCAGCTGGTGGCCCAGCCGGTGGTCAGCCTGCTCCGTCTCTGCCACTTGCCAGTTACGCCTCGGCCGGTGCAGGGGGCGGCACCATGCATGCATGGCGCTCCCGGGTAGGGAAAGTCCTTGACTTATGACCGATTGGGTAGTCCTCGACTTACAACCGGTTTAGTCCTTGATTTACAATCGGTTTAGTCCTCATGACCGGTTGGGGGTCGCGGTATTAAAAAAGTTGAGAACCACTGCTCTAGTAGAAAAGGCATTCTTTATCCAACTAGATCACACTGTTTAATTGAATGGGCAGAAATTAATGGAGATAGCTGGTTCTTCGAGTAACCAGGCTCTATGTCATATAGGGTTCTATATGATAGCCAGTATCTTGAATTGTACTTGGAAGCTAACTGGCTCATGAAGCAGAGTTGTCATATAAGCACATTACTGGGGCTTATGAGTGATTTTCAAGGGCGTTCCATATACACCTCATTGCTCCATTCTTTTTGTGGGGGGAGGAAGTGCAGAGTGATAAAAAAACACAAGAAAAAGATATGCTGCATAAAAAATGAAAAATTCATTATTTTACAATCTCATCCTAGGGAGATTCTGTATGGAGCAAACCTGTAGGTGATTCTTGTTTTCCCTTTGATCCAGAGAATTCTGAGGAGCTGATGGCTTCTCTTGTTGCTGTGGTTGTTGGCTTTGCTAAAGTGGAACTATCTTCAGTCCCCCATTGCTTCTCTGGAAGTCCACAATAATCCATTCTTGTTTAGGGAATGAGTGCCTGTCCAAGGACCCTTCTAAGGAACAGGTGCAGATGACATACTAGATAGATCTGTGCAAAATCCCTCTTGGCCAAAGCTGTTACCTGTTCTTCAAGCAGAAGATTGAACTCCAAGATGTCTCTAGATTGTGCAACAGTCTTGATTGGAGTAATGCAGGTCCATCCAAGACTAAAGATGGAGATTCTTGAGACCAGAGGCCTGAAATATTCATAGCTATTTGGTCTTATCAGGACTGAGTCTAAGTTTATTCTTCCTCATCCAGGCTGCAAAGCCTTCAGACACTGGGACACTGCATCAGCATCACTTGCTACATATATAATTGAGTATCAATGGCTGACCTCACTCATTTGTTTCATGTAAAAGTTGAGCAGGCAGAGAGAAAGTGTCAAACTCTGTGACACCCTACCAGCAAGGGACCATATATTTGATTTCTTCTCTCCATCAGTGCAGATTGGCCTCAGTGAAAGGAGAACCAGAACAACACCACAGTGTGGTGTCTCTCAGTCTCAATCCCTTCATTCTGTACAGAAGGATAAAGTGGGTAGTGATATTGAACTCTATTTCTTATAGAGTTCTCTGGAGCTTTTATCAGACCACCTTCTCAACAACCTTCTCTAAAAAGATGAAAGTTGTCCAGGATCATTAGGTCCAGTGATGGCTACTTGAGGGGACAGAGTACCAACACTCCTTCAGAGCAGTGGAAGCAGTGGAACCAAGATGCTTGTCCAGCTTTATGGATGGGATAATCAAGGAACCAATGGAACTTGCAGAGGCAGAAAAATAGCAGAGACAATCAGAGGATTAAGCCAAGAAACAATGGTTGGAAATTGATCAAAGAGAGAAGCAACCTGGAATTAAGGAGAAACTTCCTGACAGTGAGGACAATTAACCAGTGGAATAGCTTGCCCCCAGAAATCATGGGTACTCTATCACTGGAGATTTTTAAGAAGAGACTAGACAGTCACTTGTCTGAGATGGTATAGGTTCTCCTGCTTGAGCAGGGGGCTGGACTAGAAAGCCTCCAAGGTTCCTTTCATATTCTATTCTATTCTATAATTATTGTTAATAATCATAGCTTAACATTCAGATGTATATTGTATGTAATAAAAAATTAAAGGGAAAAAATCTAATATCTTTTCTTGAACTAAGCTGGAGAGGAAAAATGCACAACACTGAGTTTTATTGTGATATTTGAATATAATCACATTTACCATAATGTATTAACAGTATCATTATTTCTGATTTTTAATATGTCCTGGAAGGATAAAGTCTTGGATTCTTGCATAGTACTACCAATAATTTTAATAATTTGTTTTAATATTATGGACATAAAAGTTTAGAGATAGAATTAAGCTGCCAAAATTTCTAAATTAATTAATTTGGAATATTGAATGGAAGTGCGTAAATTTTACTTGTAGCCAGAAAATGTATTCTGAGCAAAAAAATGCTTTTTTTTCTTTGCTTTGCCAGAGACTACAGTATGTTAATAGAAATAAAAACTAGAGTTATTTTTTGCTTGGTGTCATTCATAACAAAAGTGAAACAAACTAACATTGTTAAACTGCAGTAAAGAAGACACCCACTGAAAGGACAGGAAGTAGATGTTTTTAGAGAAAAGTTCCATTTTCAAACAACATTTACCATTGCTTTCTATACTGAAGTGCCATAAAAGCTTAACTACAAACAAATAAGGTACGCATGCTAACATCCACAAATACATATACTGAGCAACAGAAATGATTGTGTTGGCCTCTTTAGAGCTCCCTTGCTTAATACTTACTATTGTTTATTCTTTCTTGTGCAACGCAATGGATTCCAAGTTTTATACTGGCTCACAGTATAAGATGAAATCTGTCTTTTGAGTTTTTCAGAATGTATTTTCCATTCTTCATCAGGCAGCCACCAAACAACTGGCAGAGCTTCTCCTCCACTCCCTAAGTGAAGATTGTTACTGGAGTCCTTTGTCTGACCCACTTCCTGAGTTCATGAAGAAAGAGGATAACACTTATATTTGTACTACCTTGCGTCTAAAACTACAGCAACATGCTGGAGATAAGTACGGACCTAGGAGTTTACGGAATTTTTAAAACATCCTAATTACTGAAGGGGAAGAGAGCTTTTAATTAGGAATAGTAGCCAGGTCTTCTGTTAGAGGTCTCTGGTAATAGTTTTAGAAAAAAAATAAGCTAAACTTTATATCTGGAATTTTAAATCAATTTAATACCTACTCTTTGGGGTAGGTTGCTATACATAGAACAAATACTAAGTGAAATATCCTATGTGAAATATATAACCACACAGAGTAACATCAGAAATTAAAATAACATTAATAAACATTAATTGTTACAGGCCTTTAAAATTCCCTTACATTAATAGATCAGTTGAACAGACAAGGACAAATGGAAATGACACCGAGAAGAGGACCACTTAAAATGAATGACTGAGTCATATGATAGAGATAATGCCACATATATCTTGCTGGAAATATGAGGGGGCCAAATCAGACAAGGTCCTGGAATTCATCTGTCAACCAGCTCTTTCTGAAGGATCATCCCTCAGTTGCAATGTTCTCATAAGCTGATCCATGTACAGGCAATCTGGCCCCAAATGCTTTAGATTCAATATGGTCAGAACACCCAGGAGCAAAATTGTTTCATGAATAGAGAGTGTGTGACCAATCATTTGCTCTTCCTTGTCAGAGATGAGTTATCTCCTCTATAGCTTTTAGTCATTCCAGTCTGAAGAAATGATTATATAACAGATTAATCATGCATGAGATGTTTCACGTTACTAATCCTGTGGTGCTATTAACAAGAGTCTCCCATGAGCATAATTTTTATTGTTGCTCATATTTTGAAAAAGCCTGTTTGTCTTTCAGCATCTATAGCCCTCATGACAACGTTGAAGAAGCTCTCCTCCTCCTCCTGATCAGCGAATCCATGGTAAGCAAAATAAAAATAGCTATAAAGAAGGATAGCAATTAAGCATTTCATAATAATCCATTATGAAGGGAATTCCAGGTGTCTTTTCTAAACTAGGATTCAATTCATGTCCACAAAAGCATACCTATGGATTGAATATAAAACAATCACCTCTGATAGAGAGGAATTGGTTGTATTTTTTTCCTGAAGCATCATGAAATGTGCTCAATTTTAAGTAAGCATTGAATGAATTGCTTGAAAAATGTAACAGAAAATGTGATTCAATCTGGTGAATCTTTCTTAGTATCACAGGGGATGATTTTTTCCCATCCCCATCCCAAAATAGGCTTAATGAGAAAGCAGTCTTTTGTTTGTTTGGTTGTTTGTTTGTTTAAAAAAAATCCTGAATCCATTTTCTTGGACTTGATGGATTTATGGATGATACATCTCTGGAGAAGTAAGACAGACTTTGTAATGCTTTTCTAAACATTAAATGAGTAAAATAAACAGCAGGAGATTAAAACACAGGCTTTATGGTGACCATACACAGAGTTCATTCCCAAGACTGAAATCCTAAACAGTTACATGAGAATTTGTTTCATTTTAATTGGCGGTTGAACGAACTGAAGTGATGCTTTAGATAACTGACTGCAGGTGTTGTGAAAAGCTAGCTGCTTGTTAGTCATTTATAGTGCAATTCTAAGATTTATTCGGAGCACTTCCAACAATTCAGCAGCCTAATACTTCTAGTGCCCTGTTTGTTGTGGCCTGACAGCTTAGAATTGAGAACTGAGAGGTGCTTACATCTTTTTGCCTTTCCTATTCAAGCAAAGAAATAAAAACATTCCATTGTATACAATATAAGTAGTTGTAGATAGGCCCATTCTGCAGCTCTTGGATCTTGCCTTAGTCTGATGTGTTTGAAAGCCATTTATAGTAGCAGAGAAAAGGAGAATGGCTTATGTATACCAGTATCAAAATGGCTGGCCTTGAATACAAGGGGTTACGGCAATTTGCTGTTCTGATTTGGATACTTTTAGGTATTTATTTTGTATTATATAATTTTATATTATCAATTAATACAATACAATTAATACAATTGTATATATGCATATCATAATGCAATATAACATATCATAATAATACATTACAGTATACTGTATAATGCTTGTATTCGAGCAGTTTTTAATCTGTTTCTGAAATATATGCAAATATGAATTATTCAGGCTTACTTGGGAGCAATTGTATGGGGCAGGTTCATTTTCTGGTGCTTGAGAATGAAAACAGATGGAACTGGCATATTTTTCTTTGATTACAAGCACTTTTATGGTGGTCAAATGGGTTGATGGAATCAAGGGTACATCGTGACTGGAAGGTGGCTTTCCTGGAGGTCATCTATTAAACTTTTTTACATTTTTACTATAAAAGGAAGATGGGAACAGCGGTGTCCTCAGGGTATGTATCAGTGTATTGATTGATATATACCTATAGATATTGTACATTGATTTGTGTAAAAATCAGGCAGAGATGTGATTGTACCCTTCATGGTTGTCAGCTGGGTTATATTTTTACTACGCCTTGCAGACATTCCTGGATTGGGGTAAAAGTTTCTTTATCTTTAGTTGATTTTAAAACTCTGTGCTTCCATGAATGTAAAAAAATGGAGCATAAATCTGGCCAACCTTCTGATCAATGGTTGTAGAAGAATTAGTTTCTTTAAAGACTGAGGAATTGTCTTATTGCTCATGAAAACTTTGGACTTTGGGCTGCAAGACATTGTGTTTCCAGTTATGTTGTGGGCCAAGACAAATACAAGATTGATCTTTGTAGAGCTATTTAGAGTCAAAAGAATAGATGTATTGTGCCTACTATTTTTGATTTCAGTTTATCTTTTGCATTGTCTTCCTACCTAAATTTTATTTTGCCTCTACTGAAATTTTTAAAAAGAACCAGTACTTTTAATAAAACAGCAGGCTTCCTGAAATGCTAATAGTATAGATCAACTGGGTACCATTACCTACAACGGCTGTGTTAATGAACACAGCCTAAGCAAAATGCGGTTTAAAGGAATTTCTGAGGCTGGCAAGCTTAATTGCTCATGAGAGTTACAATCCAATTACTTTGAAGCAAAATAAAATTTTACATGTTCATATAGTGTGAATAGATACATCATGATACAATCATATTTCTTTTGCAGTCTAGGATAGCTGTATATTTACATGTACTGTTAAAAGACCACATTAACACCCTTTCCTCACATTTTTGAGTTAGGAGTTATTTCTACATAAACTATGCTGCCCCCATAACCCATCATTATCACATCTCAGCAAAGAAACCAGGCAATGTTGCTACCCACGCACAGTCTAATATGGAATACTTTCAGAACAGTGTCTGATAGATTCTAGACTCAATGTCATGTATCACTTGGAAAACTAACCACTACCAGTTGGTTTCCTGAACATTTGTGTCAAGCATCTTGCAATCAAAAAAACAAGTTTCTCACATATTTAGAGTAGACAATTTTATTACAGTGAAAAAGGAATTAGCTTATAACATCTTGGAATCTTGATATATATATATACCTTGGCCATTTATCAGTAAGTATGTTAAGTCTCTTTATTGACTTTGATCTTCTTTCTAACAAAAACTTGGCTTAATGGGGAAGATGTCAACCACTTATTTGATACTACAAAAAGGTTCATCTGTTCTTGTTCTGAAAAAAAACTAACCCCTAACCCCCCCCAAACACTCCCCCTGAAGTGTATCAGCCTTTTTCAAAAATGTAGTATTTGCAAGTTGAAGTCATTCAGCAATTTTTGTTCGAGTATTATTAATCTCTTGATAATGATTTATAGAAAATGTAACAAATGACTCTATCAAAGGACAAGAAATTCTAAAGAGAAAAAAAGCATGCAACCATCATCATCACTGTGCTCTGTGCCCTCTTTCTTTTCCTCCTTTGGGGAAAATAGGAGAAGAGAAGGTGAAAAGTGATGGGAGAGACAAAGGTGTTTAAAAAATTTGAAATCATCAACAGGTTTTTCTCTCAGGCCTTTTTTTTAAAAATATATATATAAATAGTTTTTAAAAGAAGATACATAATAAAGAAAATGAAGAGAGAAAAAGGGGGAAAGTACAGAAAAAGAAAAAAGGAAAAAGAGATAAAAAGAAATATAAAGAAGCTTCCAGTCTCCTTTGCAGCAAATACAAGTTTAATTACAAAATTCAATCAGAATAGAGCTGGAAGGGTCCTTGGGTGTCTTTTAGTCTAACCCCCTGCTCAAGCAGGAGACCCTGTACCATTTCAGACAGGTGGCTGTCTGGTCCTTTCTTAAAAATCTCCAGTGATGAAGCACCTAGAACTTCTGAAGGCAAGTTGTTCCACTGATTAATTGTCCTCACTGTTAAGAAGTTTCTCCTTATTTCCAGGTTGCTTCTCTCCTTGAGTAGTTTCCATCCATTGACTCCCTCTTCTTTGTGGCAGCCCCTCAAATATTGGAATACTGCTATCATGTCACCCCTAGTCCTTCTTTTCTCTGGCCATACCCAATTCCTGCAAACATTCTTCTTCTTAGTTGCTCTTCTTAGTACTTTTTCCAAAGTCTCAACATCTTTTTTTGTAATGTGGTGACTCACGACCTTTTCATTTCCAAATGCCCAATTGTGTAAACTCTTCCTTTTGTTTTCGCACTGCACATTTTAAGGCATTGAATAAATCAAACGTATTTATGCTTAAATATACAGTGCCTAATGCTTATAGAATGCATGGTGAAACCAAGTTGGTGCAAATAAAAACGCTGTCCTTAAAAAACACTCCAAGCCTGTTTTAACTGTATACAACCCCCAGTGACTTTTGCAGTTAATTCCAAATGCTGCTTAATATTAGCAAGAATTAGAAATTGAGTTAGAAAAGGAACATTTTCCCATCAACATTTTTTTTTCTCTCTCTCTCCCACCCTCACCACCTCCACAAAATCCACAATCATTTTGCAATGTTTCCATTTATGTATAGAAAATATTTTTTCTTCTCTGGTACCTTGAAATATAATTCATATGTCTGGTATGATCCATGTTCGTGGCATAGGATTTTACGTTACTGGTTAGCTAATGCGTTCCTTTCAATTTGCTGTTTCCCTGACATGCTGCACACTAGCACAAGAGATCACAAGTGGTGCAGATAAGGCTGGCTGCCGCCTCTCTTTTTATTTGAAACAGGCAGTCTCTGGCTAAGTCTAATGAATATTGTGTTGAATGTAACAAGAGCTTGGAATAATTCATGCAACATTAATATAATGGATACCTGACATTTGATCTTGGAAAAACTGATCTTAATTTATAATTTACTCATTCAATTTAATCCTTTTCTATTCAAAAGCTATATTTTCTGGCTCAATTAAATAGGATTCTTATAATTAATGGGTGATTTATATCAGAGAGAAAGAGAGACAAATTGAGATCTCTGGTACATAGGGATTTATAGGCAAGACTCAACCTAGTATGGTTTATTCCAGCAGTAAGTAATTCCTAGATTCCAGAAGCTGTTGGACGCCAATTCCTATCAGTCCCATCTGACAGAACTCACATTTGAAGGGCTGTTAATTCCACAGTCACTGTTTATTCTGATTTGGAGCTGATCTCTAGAAACCAGGGGCTTTTCTACCACTTGAACAATTATTCTTGAATTGGTGAGAAGCCCAGCTGAATCTACAGATTCCTAATGTATATGATTGCATATCCTATATATGCTACATGCTGCCAATGCATATTATTGAGCTATATGATTGGTATCTCCCGTTTACTTAAATGTTACAGTGGGGAGGGGGCAGGGAATCTGTAGTATCATGAGTATAATTTTCAGCAAATTATGGTTCTCTGATCTCCCCATTCAGAAGAGGAATTAAGTACATTTAATTTAAGTACATTTTACTCTGGTAAATGTCAATGGAGAGTCTCAATCAGCCAGGTCATGGTTGTCCCAAAGGTGCTTTTTCCAAAAGGCATCTGGACTTGATTTTTTCTTTGAAAATGTTTCGCTTCTCATCCAAGAAGCTTTTTCTGTTCTAACTGACTGGTGGGGACTGGAAGGATTTATATTCTTTGTAATCATCTTATCGTTAGCACTCTCATTAGCTCTCTGAGAGTCATTGAGACCACTTGAAGGTTTATCTGTATCCTCAAAGTCATCTGAACTAGAGTGCAAATGGATGTGGAATCTTCTTGGGGCTGCTGGAAGGACTGCGTTGTAAACAGAAGATAGGTGATGTTGTACCCTCACCGTCTGTTGAGGGAGAGCTGTTCAAGTTTGACATAGATGGCCTCTTTGATTCCTCTTTCAAATCAGTTTTCCTCTCTGTCCAGAATGTGAACTTTGCTTCTTCAAAAGAGTGACCTTTGTCTTTCAAACGCAGAAGGAGTGCTGAATGTTATCCTGATGGGTTTGTTCTCCTGTGTTGTGCCATGAAGTGGCTGTTTGTTTCGCCAATGTACAAGTCTCAGCATGTCTTGTTGCATTGCATTGCCTATGCCACATTGCTCAGTTTGTGTCTGGTGTTTTATCTTTGGGGTGGACAAGCTGCTGCCTTAATGTATAACTAAGTTTAAAGTGTGACTATATGTTGAAAATGTTCCTGAGCTTTTCAGATATTCCTGAAACATATGGAATGACAACACTGTTCCATTTGTTGTTTTCTTTTTTTGTGGATTTCTGGATTTCACTCCAGTATTTTGGACAGATTCCGGGAATCTGAACTCTAGTTGTATTCCCTTTGCACAATGACCAGTCTGGCCCATATTTCACTAAGTCTTTAGATGGGGTTACACATATCTTTTATTTTTGGTAATCCTCAAAATTATGGTAATTTGCTCATTCAAGTGAATATTTTATCTGTGCTAAGGCATTCTGTGCTAAGGCATTGCTTTAACTTCCTAGTTTGGCTCACTGACAAATGCTCAAAATAGCTGACTCTGATGTGAGGCTGATTACCAGTTTTCAGAACATGTGGGGGTTTGTTCAGTGTAGCTATTTTTCACAAATGAATGGTGCAGCAATGTTACTGATGCAGAAACTTTTAAATAGTACAGTATACAAAATGGAAAAAATGTTAATTAACACTGTTATCTATACATCTCGACATATCTTTAATGTGTGACTTTTAAATTTTCATTTACTCTGGGATAAAGAAGTACTGTTGATTATGACACACAAAAGAATCATTTCCAAAGCAATTTTTGTTTCTTATCCTTCATCAAATAAGTTACATAAATCTTTCTCACACAAGTTCCTTCAGTTTTTTGTGATTCTGGAAGCTGAACATTGATAGTCAGTTTCCTGCCATGTAGGGATGGGCAGAAGTAAAAATTATAGTGTAAGAATTAAAATAGGTAGATCATAGTTAAAATCACAAAAAAGCAAAACAAAAAAAAAAAGCCACTGAAATTCCTCTCACTCACTTGTCCCCTAAAATTTCAGAGCTGATTTTTTGGTGGTGAATGATTTGCTTACTCCTTAGTATTGTATAAAAACCAACCAACCAACCAGACAGTTAGCTCTATCTTTCAGAATTATGTTATAAATTAGTAATATATTGTCTCTCAATCAATTTTATTTCTTCACTTGGGGTTTTTCTTTTGCTGAAATGTTTAATAATGAAATTCAAGAAGAGGATATAAGATGAAATGCTGTGCAGATGGTGTATATAAAACTCTATAAGATAGTAGATGAAAATAAACCAAAAGCTTTTCACTTTTAATTTTCTTGGCTCTTGCTGAGCTAAATGACCTCCAAAATATCTCAGAGCTGGCAGAAATGACCAGCCCAGCCACATAAATTTCATTGTCACAGTAGTTACAGCCATCTTTCAGTAATAATAAAACCATGAACACAAATTAAAAACAACCATCAGCCTTGTACTGAAAAACTCAGTGAAAACAAATCCCAAGTAATTGTTCACATGGGGAATAGATATGTTCATCCAAGGACAATATAGATTTAGACATAGGTATAGTTGTTTTCCATTTGAACACTGCAACATTTGAAGGAGGTTGATCTGATATCTGCCTTTGACTCAAGAGTCATAGGTTCTGTACCCCTATGTTAAAATTATATTCAGTGGCTGATGCCTTCGAGTATCAGTTGCTGAGGAATAGCAGTGAGAGAAGGTTGTTATACTCCATCCTGTATGTGGGCTTCCCAGAGGCTGCTGTGGGAAACAACAGATTGGGTTCAATAGGCCCTGGATTTAATCCAGCAAGGATTTTCTTTGTTCAAATGTAGTTACTGTTTGGGACCTCTTTCTGATTGAGGGATTTTTAGAATGGCATATAACCATGCAAATATGTATGTTTCTATTTCTGAGACAAAACCAAGTGTGAATTTGAAAAGGACTATTGTAGTATAAAACAACCCCAAGACACATAGACTAAGAGCATTAAGTATTGCATAGAGTAAAATGATGTGCAAAGTAAGAAATAATAGGATTAAAGTGTAGTATAATTATGTTTAAATGTCAGTTCAGAGAACAGCAGACATTGCAAAAAGACTTTTATGATTATTATGTTCACTTCTTTTCACTATATATGACAATAGTGTTGCCTGGCTTTCTCTTTGTAATCTGCCTTTTTGAAATAGTCTTGAAAACATCAGTTGGTGCAATGTTTCCTTGGGCCCATATAGAGAGCTGAAGACCTTTCTAAGATATGTTTGGTCCTTTTTTAAAACATTTGAATTCATTCCCAGGCAAACCAGGATGCAGTAATCAGCCGAGCTCCTGATCAGAAAGATGATCGAGCCATCAGTCTCCAGAGTGCATCAGCAGTTTATGATCTTCTGAGTATCACTCTGGGAAGAAGAGGACAGTATGTCATGCTTTCTGAGGTATTCATTTATTTATTTGGTGCCAACCTACCCCAGAGTGGCTCATGCTAGAATAAGAAAAATATAAAACAATATAATAAAAGCAAAACCATACAACAGATGAACCAGACTAGAAAAGAAGGAAAGAAATGAAAAAGTGAATCCAGCAAACTACCAAAACATATACCATCATCAGGAGGTTCCAGCCACTTCAGTCCAAGGTCTGACTGAACAGCCAAGTCTTTAAGACTCTCCAGAACACTATCAGGATGAGAGACACCTGGTCCTCAGAGGCAACAGTATCTGAGGGCAGATACCATGACAGAAAAGGCATGCGTTCTGAGTCCTGATAGATGACTTTGTTTGATTGAAGGAACCTGGTGCATGCCAACCCTGTCAGCTGGGTAGAAGCAAGTTATCAATCAATACAACATGCAGGACAGGATTATCATATTCAGGAGAGGTTGGAGCATCTGAGTTGTCTTTCAGGGTAAAACCAATGTAGAGCTCATTGAAATAGTCAACCTGTGAGATGATTAGGATGTGAATGATTATCTAAAGCACGGGTGTTAAACTCACCGTGTCATGTGACGTGTCATGACGTATCGCTACTTTTTTTGCATTGGCGGAGCTGGGGTGGGCGTGGCCTCCATATGATGCAACCGGCCCATGGGCCAGCAGTGTGACACCCCTGATCTAAAGGATTTCCTGGTCGAAGAGAGGATGCAATTGGTATACCAGGTGAAATCCATTTTGTATTTCCGGGTCCCCCTTTTTATATATTGCTAACTTTGCAATATTTTGTAAACATTAAGGCCCCCTCAAAATCGTATTGTATATGTTTATACTGGTATTTACCGTGCTGCATTATATGTTATATTTATTGGAATTATTTTTGCGTGTTAATATTTTGTTGAAGAAAGATCTAGAGTCTAGTTTTAAAGAAAACTATACTGGCTTGCATCCTAAGTATTGTAAAGATAGTATGAAGGATAACTGCAGGCACTAAAAACACTTTATTTGGACTCCATTTGTGCACTTAATCCATCTCAGATAGCCCTTTCTTCATGCATGCTTTGTTTTTAAACCCCAGAACACTGCACTATCTGAATGTGTTTCTCCCCTCCCTCCATCTCTCTCCGTATATGTATATGTATATTCCTAATTATCTTAAAAACTCGAATCCCAGGTATACTCATATCAAAACTATAACAAAATCACTGAACTCCGGGATAAATGAATAAAACAAACTGTTTAATACATACATATGTATGTATGTATGTATTACTAATTTCATTAAAAACATGAAATGTACATATGTATATGTATGTATAATCTATATTTTTTTCTCCCCAGTGTTTAGAAAGAGCAATGAAGCTTGCATTTGGTGAATTTCATCTCTGGTACCAGTTGGCTCTAGCCATGACAGCTTGTGGCAAGGTAAGACTTAAACAAGCAAACAGACTATTATATAGATAGAATTATTGCTGTTACCTATACTTGAAAACAAAATGCAATCTGAAATATAATATATTGCTATAATTATGCAAGTGTATTAGTTCTCCTTTTCAATTTTTTCCTATTTAATATAGTAATAACTTGTAACAATGATAATTCTTTTTGAATATAGATGCATTGATTGTCTAATAGAGATAACCAAAAGTAAGGCAGTAGATTCTACATACTCAGAAAATGCCCACAGTATACATTTATTCTATAGATAGTATGAAAATATGTGAAGTAAAGAAAATGACAAATAATTATTTTTTTAAAATATGGTGAACACAAACCTATTAACTTTGGTCCCAAAGCACAAGGCATCCAATTTTTTTTCTTATTTAAAAGTATCAGAAATTTCATAATAATCCACCTTCAGTTTTCTTACATCCTTGAAATTTCAGCAGCCAAACTTAAATGGAGAAAAATGTTCTGCTTTTGTTGTTGAAGAAATTGGTCTCAAAAAGTCTTGCCAATGTATGAAAATTACCTAATGATCAACCAGAAGGTTTAGATGTTCTTCTATCTAGATCTCTTTCAAGTTGATTCCTAAACTGATGAAATATCCTAGAATTAAGTGACATTACATTAGTGTATTATTATTAGGACTATATACCGTAAAGAAAAACTTGCTGATAGTAAGATCTATATGGCAATGGAAAAGTCTAAATCTGGAGGCTGTGAGGTCTTGATATCTAAAGATTTTTAAGAGCAACTAGATTGCCACCTCTCAGGGATAGTTTAATTGGTTTTCCTGCACATTGAAGAGGATTGTAGTAACTCAGTATTTCTCAGCTGTGGCAATAAAGTTCACACATCTTAAAGTTGCCAAGGTTGAGAAACATTAAATTAGATGATCCTTGTGATTACTTTCAATTCTAAATTCTATCAGTATATGAAAGACTCTGGCAGAAAAAAAAATGTCCTTCTTCATCTGATAGTGTTTCAATCCTACTTCCAAAATGTTTCTAAGAGAGTCATACTAAATTCAACAGGGAGAGATATAATTGGGAGAACTGTGGAAATTACAATTTTTACTAAGCCAGAGGTTAAGGGTTAGGGGAAGGGAATGATCAGCAAAGATATTCTTATCTGGCGAAGCCACTGGTGGAGCCACTAATATATATATATATCTTTTTAAAATTGCCCTAGAATATAGCCAAGTCCAAATTTTATTAAAAACAAGATCATACATCTGAGGTTTACTTTCATATTTGTAGTGCTGAGAAATGGACTCATAAACCTGTATCACAGAAACCCTGTTTGACGAGTCCTTTTATTTCCCCAGATACCTTCACATTTTGAAAATAAACTTATTCTTTTAAGTATCAGCAGAGATTCTCTTGATCTATATAGATTGTGCTCATTACTAAACAAGATTGTTCTGATTCAACATTCCATTCTGCTTATCTTTCACTTAATAAAATATTTCATTTAAAATATTAAATTATTAAACTGATAACTTTATATGTTTATTTATTTATTACATTTATTTGCCGACCATCTCACTGTGAAGCGACTCTTAATGGAAATCCATCTTGCTGGTCAGTGTATTATTGAAACATCAAGATGGTTTTTAACAAGATATATGTATATTCATATATCCAAATAAAGCTTCAGGTGACCCATGAACCAATCTGTGGTATTTTTCCTTGGCCATGTCATCATGTAAATGGACTGTTTGTTCCAGGTCAGATAATTATGTGGGGTAAAGTAGAGAGCAGGGCAGAACGTGGGACCAAGCTGAATATTGTATAGTAATGAGCTAATTTAATAATTACTATACTTATGTACTGACTGTCTTCCACATTGGGAGTGAGAAACCCAATTAAGAGCTCACAGTATGTTCAGCAGAATTAGGCCATTGAAAAGTGGAATCCTTTAAGCAGCTGAAAGGTTGAAACAGGGCACCATCTTAAAAATGAAGAGGCTATGGCTGTCTGCTTCTGTTCGTCTGCCCCAAGAGAGAGCCCCATGTTTGCCTCATAATGATGAGTGTTCTAGTGGCGCAAGCCTGTCATTGGACTAGCATAGTTTTCTATTGGTCAACAGATAGATCAGATTGTTTCCTAGGCAGGATTTTAATGCATAGTAACTTTTGTGTCCAATGGTATTTTTAGATCATTTTAATTTCTTGTTTAGGTTCTTCAGAAATTCTTTTTTCCATATAGATGCAGATAGTCCTTGACTTACAACTGCTCATTTAACAATTACGATGGCCTTGGAAAAAAGTGACGTATGACCCATCCTTGAAGTTATGATTACTGCACCACTCCCATGATTACATGATTGAATTTAGGCACTTGGCAGCTGGCTCACATTTATGAGGTGTCTTGCCATCATGGAATCATGATTTGTGACCTTCCCAGCTAGCTTCCAACAAGGAAGCTAGGTTCAGTTAATGTCCATGATTTAAAAAGTTATAAAATTTTATGCAGTCACATGATGACTTACTTTAAGACTGCACTCCCAGCTGTGTTGTAAATTGAGGATTATCTTGACTACGAGTAATCATCGACTTACAAACATTCGTTTAATGATCGTTTAAAGTTATGACGGTACTGAAAAAAGTGTCTTATAACTGCTCCCCACACTCACAATTGTTGCGATGTCCCCAAGATAATGGAATGAAAATTTGAATGCTTGGCAACTGCCATATATTTCCAACAGTTGCTGCATGCTGAGGTCACGTGGTCCCCATTTATGACCTCTCCAGGGGACTTCCGACAAACACAGTTTGGGGGATGCACCAGCCAGATTTTATTCTTCACCAAGGCATTGAGAGATGTATAAATCTGATAACAAAAACAACAATAACAACAACAATAATAATGTTGGAAGGGACTTTGGAGATCATCTAGTCCAACCCCCTGCTCAGTCAGGAAACCCTATTTCGTTTCAGACAAATGGCTGTCCAGTCTCTTCTTAAAAACTTCCAGTGTTGGAGCAACAAATGATGTTATCCATTTGTTGATTTAGATAAAATATAAGATAAGTGAACAAAATTAAATTATGGAATGTTTTGCATGAATCTGATGGTGAAAGTTGGTCATTGAATGAGAAAAGAGCAATATAAGATGGAAATAAATAGTGCTTGAAATGTAATAAGCTAATTGTTTAATACTGAGCATGGAATGATGTCTGCTTGTATGGATAGCAAAGCCAGAAGTGATAAAATCAAGAATACTGTATTTGGTCACACAGAGAACTAGACAGAATGGATAAGGATCAAATAGCAAAACAAATACATGAAGGAAGAATGAATACTACAAGTGGAAGGGGAAAATAGGAAATTATGACTGGATGGTATTTATGATTGGATTTATGATACAATTATGATTGGAGGGAAGAAATGTAAAAAACAAAAGGCATCATAAGACATAATGTGTTGACATCATGGACACAAGGATGGTTGGTAAGGATAAGAAGATATTGAGAGTTACAATGATTCATATTTCTATAAATTAGAGTTAGCTATTTTTTTCTTATCCCATGTTTTAATTTATTTAATTTATTATTTCTATAATTTCTTATCCCCTTTTGCACTTTGCATAACATTGCTTACTGCAAAAGAGAATAGTTTCAGGCATGTATGTAAGTCAAATGCAAATGTGTTGGTGAAGTCATATCTTTCTTTTAAAATATACTACTAAGTATGGTGGGGATCTTTTCTGTCACTATATTCCATATTAAGGCCGACAGGGCATGTGTATAACTAATATATTTTGTATTTTACTGGAATCTCTAGATATAAATACAAATCAGACAGCTAGAAAGAGAAGAACACTTAAAAACTAAACACAATGGAGGGCACAAGAATGGGAAAAGAAAGTGGCCTTGTTACAAATGGATTTGACCTAGCCTAGAGAAGTAATTTCTACCATTCTGTTCAACAAGCACAGCTTAAAGGCAGAGCTCAGCATTTGCTTTTTATGCTCAAATTAGCCATGACCTTCAGTTTTTTTTATTTGACACAGGCTAGCTTGGAGAATCCATTACTGGAAATATTTAAAAAGAAGTGGACATCATCTATCAAAGATGATATCCAGCATTGCTGAGTTGACCACTGAGGTTGATTAGATGACCACTAAGATTTATCCTATCTATATACTTATATAAATGTATAACTCTAGGAGATAATATCCCTGCATTTTTCAATAGATACTGCATTAAAAGTCAAAGAGGTAGTGACTGTTATTTCTTCTTCCAGGCCCAACCTCAGTTAGTCACTTGCTCAGAGTACGGATACACTTCATTTCTCAACTGCCTCATTTAGCAATCATTCACAGTTAGGACAGTGATAAAAAAATAACTTTACAACCAATCCTCACATCTACAATCTCCACAGGCCTTTAAAGCAAAGTAAAGCTGAAGTAAGATCATAAACACAGTCATGGTTTTACTTAGTGATCACTTGCTTAATGACTGAGTTGCTGGTCCCAGTTGTAGTATTTCTTACTAGCATCTTCCAAATGCTCAAAGCTACAACTCCGATCATCCCAGCAATCATGATCACTGATATATGGACTATATGCTTACAAGGAACCCTAAAGCTGTTTTGTTAAATCTCTTCATATTACTATTCCAGGGCTAACCAGAAAGTCAGTATCAGCAAGATCCAGGTAATATTCATTTTATTTGAATGAGAAATCAGTCAGATGTCTTGAGTCATAATATGCAAACATATTTGATAAATCTAAAATGAAATAATGTGACAAATCAATAATAAAGTTCAAATTTGGTTTTTTTATGGATTCATTGGAGGGCTTTTGGAAAGTAAAATCACTTTTGATAAGAATAATAATAGTGTCACATAGAACTGTAAAATAATCCTTTCAAGATTATCTACTCATAACTGCTATTCCTATGGTGTTATTAGAATGAAAATAGCAATAATAATGATAAACTGTATTTTTAATAGTAGTTGTTGGTCATGTGTTTACCCAGCTCATAATATCTTAAGCAGGAAGAATGCACCAATCCATACTTTATCAGCATAATAAATTGTTCTCAGCTGTGTTGATGAAGATTCTGAATCATCCAGATATTATTGTCTGGAAGTTGAATCATGGCAACTAGACTTCTCTTTCTGTTTGGTTGGAATCGTTGCTTATCCAAGTAGCTTCAGTCTCTGAAGCAGTGAAATCAAAAAGAAAGGAGGATGGCAATATCATTCCCAGTTATACTGAATAGGACACTTGTCTTCTGTTAGGGGCTCTTCCTTACATATCCTATCTCTCTTCCTATGTCTAGTTCAGGAAGAGACTGGCTGTACTATTATATAACCTGGAGGTAGCCAAGGTGGAATGTGGATAACATTTCATTTCCAACAAATTGGAACCAGTTGTTATTGCTGTAGGTTTTTTTTCTGATTTCTTCTTTGTGCAGAATTTTTTGGAAATTTTTCCAGTGATTCTGTGGGAGAAGAAAGGAAAGGGGGAGGGCCTCAAGAAAGGCAAGTCAGCAGAACTCATTGGCATCTTTCAGGGGAGGAAGGACCCAAATAACTTGCAACTTTGTGGATAATTGGCAAGCAGGAAAATCTCAGGAAGGGTAAAACTTGCTGAGAGGTGTGAAATTGAGGATGCAGAGCAGACGTGAATATTTCTAACTTGGTCTACTGTTCTCTAAAATATCAGCCCTACCAATTTGGTAATGTTTTAATTCTGTCTTATTCTAATTCCCTTCAAGATTTCTGGATATTAAATTTGGACATTGCAGTAGAGAAATTACATATCTGGTGCTGTTTCATTTGTGATAAAAATGAGTAAAAACTGATATGATGGATGTTTATAAAATGATGCACGGTATGAGCAAATAGCTTTTCTGCTTTCTAATCACATTAGAATCCAGGGTCATCAATAAACTGAATAGTTGGAGATTCGCAGACAAAAGGTGAAAAAAATTTCTCACAGAGCATAAACTACATAGATATAGTGATATAGTTTAGCTTTAAAATGGAACGGGACAAATTCATGGAGGATTGTCAAGCCCAAAACACGTGGTGATTCCTCACAGCTAAGTTCTTTATTTGTCTGTAGACAAAGTCTTGCCAGACTGAGGACTTTACTATCTGTATCTTCAAAATACTCTGTGAATTATTAGGGAAGGACTGTCTTCACTCTCTTTCTCTCACACGTATTATCTGAACTAAGTTGCCTCTTACTCCTCTTCCTTACTGCATTCCATCACAAGGATAATGCTATTGATAGCAACATGATGGCATAACTATTACCTTCAGGAGAATGGTTCCATGTTCTAATATATATATGGGAATTATAGTGGGTTTACTCACCTGTTCTGCTTGAGGCCTTCGAAGGAGCATCTAGCTGATCACTGTGGAAAAGGTGCTGAATAAGAGAGGCCTTGTCTTGTGTTATATTGATGTTTAGCATTAGCCACTCTAATTGATAAAATAGGATCTGATGATCTGCAGTATGTTCTCTTGCTGTTTCTCTGTAAATGTCTCTTAATACAGACAGCAAAGAAGACAGCCTCATTTAACTGACCCCTAAAATATTTTCTGGGCAACATGAAGAGGAGGATTTGCAAATAGATGCTCTGCTCTTGCCGATACCTTGTTTACTGGGAGGCTTTGCGTGGGTGAGAGAATCAAACAGTTCCTAGTTGATGTTTGCCATGCTATTACAATTTTGGCAAAGAATATTCTACAGAAAAAGTACCATGAGGTTTCTATTTCCTCTACTTATTTCACTTTCAATTCCTGGCCTTATTAAAAAAAATATAGCATTATACAAAATTCAGGAGCTCCACTGCAATTTAATATAGTTTGACAGAGCATGTTGGTATTCAGAGACTGCGACAGAAGTTTTGCAAAAGCAGCTTTAAAAACTAACAAATGTATTATAGCATATGCTTTCATAGATAGAGTACACTATAGCAGATTCATGATGTCTGCTCCTCAGTTGCTGATAGGAGTGTGCATGTATGCACACCCACATTCACTGGACAGGAAAGGTATATATATATATATATATATATATATATAGGTCTTTGGTTGTTCGGGTTTTCTCCCGCGTAAAATTGGAAGTGTCTTGGCAACGTTTCGACGAAGTCACATTCGTCATCTTCAGGCTGGTGTTTTTAGCTTCTTGCTTTGAGCAGCAATGTGTGGTTTTAGCTGTTTCTTCCTTTTAACTGCCAGTGAGGGTATGAACTGATTGGATGGGAGCTTGGCTGTGTTCTGATTGGGTGGAGGTGTGTTCTGAATGGTTAGGGGCTTGGCTGTGCTCTGATTGGCTGGGGGAGTGTTCTGTTTGGTTGTGCTCAGGTTAGTCTGAGTTGCAGAGGGGTTTAAGATTTTGGGGTTAGGGAGTCGTTTGTCAATAAGGGCAGGTTTCCAAATGGCTGGTAGGCGGGAGGTATCATCTCGCTTGTTCATGCTGTGTGGGCGTTTTTCTATCTCGATGGCTTCTCTGATTATTCTGACTTTAAAAATACCAGAACCATTGCCAAAAGTGAACATTTTAATAACAGAATAATCAGAGAAGCCATCGAGATAGAAAAACGCCCACACAGCATGAACAAGCGAGATGATACCTCCCGCCTACCAGCCATTTGGAAACCTGCCCTTATTGACAAACGACTCCCTAACCCCAAAATCTTAAACCCCTCTGCAACTCAGACTAACCTGAGCACAACCAAACAGAACACTCCCCCAGCCAATCAGAGCACAGCCAAGCCCCTAACCATTCAGAACACACCTCCACCCAATCAGAACACAGCCAAGCTCCCATCCAATCAGTTCATACCCTCACTGGCAGTTAAAAGGAAGAAACAGCTAAAACCACACATTGCTGCTCAAAGCAAGAAGCTAAAAACACCAGCCTGAAGATGACGAATGTGACTTCGTCGAAACGTTGCCAAGACACTTCCAATTTTACGCGGGAGAAAACCCGAACAACCAAAGACCTATATACAAATACCCGCGAAAACCTCAGAAAACAAATATCGAACCTCTACGGGGAGGAAATCCACCATCTGACCAGGACCTATGAAAAACTTGAAGTCCAAAGAGCTTCCATTTTATGTGACCTCGCATTCCTACGTAACTGCCGAGATCAAAATCTAATCCCCACATGTTTCCAACTGAAATTCCACTCCAACTCTGCAGCCACCAAACGGATCCTGAAAAGAACAGAATTGGCCCTAATCAGAAATGAACTTCACACAAAAAGATTCCTCCTAGACCGAATTAACAAAGATCTCCTCACACTCCACCTCAAACTCAGCAACAAGATCCACCCCGCACTTTGGGACAAATCCAAACAACTCGCCGTCTGGAGAGCCGAAACACAGACCACCCTCAAGACAGATACACACACCAACAAACTCCGAAGACTACAAGAACGCCAGAAACAAACCCCTCCTCCCTCACAGCCACACATGAAACAAACAGTGCATAACATCTCAGATAGGATCCTCACCAAAGCCGAAACCAATGTCCTTTCCAAAGGATTCAACTTTGCAGTCGCTCCCAAACACATCCCCACTGAAACCATTATATGTGGAGTTGAAACCAGCCTGACCAAAATCAACCCCGATGACGCTAACAAAATCAGACTCAAATCACCAACATCCTCTGCACCAGCAAGCCACCCAAAAGCAACTTACCCAAAGAGGAACAGACAGCACTACGTAACCTGAAAGAAGACACCAGCATAATAATCCTACCAGCAGACAAGGGCAACGCCACGGTGGTTATGAACACATCTGACTACCAAACCAAATTAACCAACCTACTCCAAGACTCCACATACAAACCCCTAAATACAGATCCCACCACCTACCTGGAAAAAACCACCAGAACCAAGATAAAAGCCTCCCCCATTAGCGAAGAGATCCAGCAAAGAATCATTCCCAGAGAGAAATCATCCAGATGCCCCAAACTCTATGGTCTCCCCAAGATACACAAAGAAGGAACCCCACTCAGACCTATAGTCAGCTCCATAGGCTCACCTCTACAAAACCTAGCCAAATTTCTCGCCAAACAACTACAGCCCTATGCAGAATCCATCACCTCACACGTAAAAAAACTCATTCCAGTTTATAGAGATCATAAAGAAACAAAGCTTACAGCCCAGCGACCTACTAGTGAGCTTCGATGTCATATCCCTCTTCACCCAAGTGCCTATCAAAGAAGCCTTGACAGCTATTCAAAACAAATATAACCCCCCCAAACACATCTTAGATCTGACCAACCACTGCCTATCCAACACATACTTCATCTATAATGGACAAAAATACAAACAAACAGAAGGAGCACCCATGGGATCACCCCTCTCACCTGTCATTGCCAACCTCTACATGGAACACTTTGAAACCCAAGCTCTAGAAAAATCGGATCACAAACCCAAACTCTGGCTCAGATACGTAGACGACACCTTCATAATCTGGCCACATGGGAAAGAAAAACTGGACAACTTCCTCACACACCTCAACAGCCTACACCCCAAAATACAGTTCACCATGGAAACAGAAGCTAACAACCAACTTCCCTTCCTGGATGTCTTAGTCTACAAGAAATCCAATGGCTCCCTAGGACACACCATCTACCAGAAGAAAACACACACAAACCGCTATCTGCAC